TTAATATTTTAATATATAAAAATAATAATTAAAAAGAAAAATTTACGAAACGGTAAAACGAAATTCGAAAATATTAAATCGGGTATTAATATTAATAATATTTACTTTAAACGTAATAACATTTATTTTAAAAGTAATAATATTAGTTTTAAATATAATAATATTTATTTTAAAAATGGTAATATTTATTTTAAAAATAATAACATTTTTTTTTAAAGTTACGATATTAATTTTTAAAAATATAACGTTAATTTTAAGTTTTACCACGTTAATTTTAAACGTGGTAATTAATATTAAACGTATAAATATTATTTTTAATAATATTAATATTTATTTTTATTTTTTAAAAAATAATCACGATTTATTAATTATAATTAATTACGGGTAAGTTACCGTATAACGATAATTTATTTATAATTTAAAATATATATTTCGTTATAATTAAAAAATTAAATTAAAGTTTTAATTTTATAATATATATAATAAATATAAAATAGGAATTTAAAAAAATAATATTTAAATTAATAACTTAAATAAATAAGTTTTTAAAAAAAATTATTTAAAAAAACATTTTAATAAAAATAAATAATAAAAATTTCACGTGTTATATCGTGTTAATTATACTTAAATATTTATTTTTATGTTTTTAATTTATAAAAAAAAATAATTTAAATTTAATGTTATTAATATATTTAAAAAAATATATAAAGTATATATAAATTTAAAATAATTATTATATAAATAATATTTTTATAATGAAAATAGTTTTAAAAATTATTACCGAATAAATTTTTAAGTGTTTAAGTTAAAACTTTTTAATATATATATAATAAAAGAAATTTTATATAAATAAAAATTATATTATTTAAAATTAAATTAAATTAAATTTAAAATTATATATATAATTATAATTATTATATAAATATTTTCGATTTTTATTTTAAATATTATAAATAACGTTACGAGTTAATAATAATGTAATAAAATATATTATTATAAATTAAATTAAATTAAATTAAATAAATTACTTCGTATAATATAAGGTTTTTTTTTTTTTTAAAAAAAATAGTGTAAATTTTACATATTCGTTAAAAATTAAAAAAAGTAAATGGTTAAATATTAAAACATTTATAATTAATATTATTCGCGTTATATGGTTTTAATTAATACGCGCGTTATATTAAAAAAAAACTTAACGTTAATTTAAACGCGTTTTAAATTATATTAAAATTTCATTATATATTCGATTAATTTTAATTATTCGTAGCTTAATTAATTTAACGTTTTAATTTTTTTAATTTAGTTTAATTAAAAGCGTTTAATTTAAATTATATGTTATTTTTTTTTTAATTTTTAAATTTTTATTTAATTATAATATTTAAAGTTAAAAATTAATTATTATTTCGATTAATTTAAATTAATTTTAACTTAATTTAATTTCGATTATAAAATTTCGATTTAATTTTTTATTAATTTTAATATAATTAAATTTATTCGAAAACGCGTTATAAAAATAATTAAATTATTTTAATTATTAAATTTTTAAAAATGTTTTAAATGCGAAATAATTAATTAAAAATTTAATATTATAAAAAAATATAAATTTTAAAATCGGGTTTAAAGGTTTAAATTACGGTATTTAATTTTTTATTTAATATATATAAAATAATATATATACATTTTACCGGCGTTTTTCCGGTTTTATATAACGTAAATAATATTTATATATTTAATTATTTAAGTTTAATTTCGAAAACGCGAAAGTTTATTAATAAATATTTCGATTAATTAAAAAACACGCATTTAAATTTAAATTATATTATTAAAATAATAAAGTTTTTATAAAAGTTCGGTTTTAATTAATTAAAAAAATATTATAATTTTATATTATTAAACACGATTATAAAAGCCGTATATTTATTAAATATTTACTTATTTTATTATTTTTTTTATTATATTTTTATTTATAAAAGTTATTTTACGTTTAATCGAAAAGAAAATGAATAATTAAATATTTATAAAATTAAAATTTAATTTATAAAATTTTCGTTAAATTTATAAAAGTTTCGTTAACTTTTAATTTTAAAAATAAAATAAATAAAAAGTTTTATTTATATATATATTATATTTTTTATAATAAAAATAGTTAAAAGTTTTTTACGTAATAACGTTATTATTTTTAAGTTTTTTAATTTCGTTTCGTAATTTAAGTGGTATAAAGTAAAATAAATAATAATGCGTGTATTTTTAATGTAATTAATTTTTTAATATTTATATTAAATTCGGTTTATTTATTAAATAAACGTGTATATATGATTTTAATATATAACGATAAATAATTATTATTTAAAAAAATAAGTTATAATATTTATTTATAATAATTTACTTATTAAATAATTATATATTATTATACGAAGATTAATGTTAAATATCGTTAATATTAAAATAAATATTATTAAATAATTATATATTATATTATTAAAAATATAATTAATTAAAAAAACATGTTAATATATAAAAAAATTATGCATTAAAATTAACACGAAATTATCGGGCGTTTAAAATTTAATGTAATTTTAACGTTTATTAAATAAATTATTATTAAATAAAAACGTAAAATTTTTTTCGAAAAAAAAAAAAAAATTACGGATTTTAAAATTTTAAAAAATTATTATATTAATTTTAAAATATTATTTTAAGTTTTTATATTAATTTTTATTATAAATATTTAAAGGTTATTTATTTTATTAAAAAATATTTAAAATTAAAAAAACGTAAATTTAAGTTATTATTTAAAAGTAAAATTTTAAACGTAAAAAAAGTTTATTAAATATCGATTTTTTTTTAAATTAATAATTAAAAATTTATAAAATTAAAATTAAACTCGTAAAATCCCCGCGAAAGTTTTATTTATAATTAATTTTAAAAGTAAAATAAATAAAAAACTTCATTTATATATATATCGTATTTTTTATAAAAAAAATAATTAAAAACTTTTCGCGTAATAACGTCGTTATTTTTTAATTTTTTAATTTCGTTTCGTAATAAAATTAATTATTATAATTTTTATTATTATTATTATTATTATTACGAAAAAGTTATAAAAATATAAAAAATAATGTTTTTAATAAATTTAAAAAACGATGTTATATATTAATAATAATATTTTAAAATAATTAAATTTATATTTAACGTAATTTTTATTAAATAAATACGTGTTTAATTTTATTAATAATATCGTTTTTTTTACGTTTTTTTTTTTTTCGTTTTTCGGTAAAAAAAATATAATATAAATCGTTATAACGCACGTTTAAAAATATAAATTATTAAATAAATTATAAAAATTTTATATTTAAATATAAAATGTAAAATTTAATTTAATACGTTTAATATATTTTTAATAAAGTTTTAAAATAATTATATAAATAATGGTTTTTTAACGTTAATATTAATTATTATTATTATTATTATTTCGTTTAATAAAAGGAAAAAATTAAATTAAACACGTTAAATTAATAAGTAATTTTTTTTAAAAATTAAATATTAATCGCGAAAAAAATAATATTAAAAATTTAAATAATAAATAAAAATGTAAGTAATAATTAATGAAAATTATTTAATTTTTATTTAAATATTATTATATTTATAAATTTTTTTTTAAATATTATCGTATTTTATATTTAAATAAAATTTATTATTAAAATGAAATATATTTATTTTAAAATAAATTAAAAATTTAATATAATAAATATTAATTTTTTTAATTACTTTTTAAAAATTAAATGTTTAAAATAAAAAGTTTTATAATTTTAATATTTAATAATATTTATTTAAAAAAAGAAAAAAAATTTAAATATAAATAATTAAATGATTTATTTTTTTTTTAAAAGTTTATAATTTTTTTTATAACGAAACGATTAATTTTATTAACGTTAATTCGCGTTAAGTTTTAAATAATTATTTAAATATAACGTTAAAATAAAAAAATTAATTAAATAAATAAATTATAAAATTCGAATATTAACGTAAAATTAAAAAATAAAGTAAAAAATAAATAATATATAATATATATTTAATAAAAAGTAAAAATAAGTTATGTTTTTTTTTAAATTTAATAAATATTTATTTATATAGTTTTCATTTTATTTTTTTTTATTAATAAATTATAAAATTTAATAATAAAAATCGGCGTCGTTTTTTCGTTTTAACTTATTAAATTAAAAACTTTATAAAATAAAAAATATTTTTATTTATAATAAATATATATTTACTTAAATATTAAAAATATTATTATTAAACATTAACAACGTTTTGTAAATTATAAAGCATAGTGTAAGTTCCATATATACTGCTTATTTATACAGTGTACATTTTAATATATTAATTGAATTGGCGGGTTAGCGGATACGGCCTTATGGTCCATTCTAATCCCGTTCTGTTCCACTGCGATGGAAGCGGAATACACGATGCAAGCCTCATTACAGGGATTTGTGGCACAGATTGCGGCACAGCATTAGCATGGGGACGCGCAGACGGTCAAGTCTTTACGGTCAAGATTGTTCGAGGTCGGGGATCGTCCCGGATTTTCGTTAGTTGACAGATCTTATCCCTGTCTGCCAGCAAGGGGGCGGCGTACTATCATTAGATTATTAGCTGTTCACGGCTTAGGCAGTCTGGAAGTTCAACAGTTGCTCTAATAATTCTTGACGACAGACACGAACAATGATGGATGAAAGCTCCTGCGAAGGCGATGCTTTTATTCCTTTTCGCGCCGAGAAAAGGAGGTGAGCGATCAGCCCGCGATCCCAACGGGGCGCGCTGGCCTTGCATCATCCCATCTTGCTTTTAGTGCATTACCGGGCTGCCTTAGCCTGTAATTTCAGCCCCTCTGCCCCTTTGTGACGACTTGTTTATGTCCACTTTTGTAAGCTGACTTCCATGTCCATATCGTAAGTGGCTTACATAGGTACGCTGCCAAAGTACATGCCACCGCCCAACGAGATTCTAGTTGATGGAACCCAGATGGTTATGTCTCCAAATACGTTCCCCGGCAGTCCTAGAAGCTGTAACCTGCGGAGCTCCCCAGCCAACTGGACCGTCGCATCCGGCTTAGCTTGGGCTGAGATTAGATGGTTTCGTCGATCAGTTTCTGGTGTATCATGTATAAGTGAACGCGCCCGCGGGCGCAAACTAACATGTCTCAACAAAAGAGTCCGTCTGTAGTGTGCTACCAGGTTCGTACCGTGAACCCAAAGAAGTCATGATGTTATTCGGAGCTTTGTTATCGGTGCTCCTCACTTCCCTAGATTCCGTTCGAGCCCAGTACCCGGTTTCCGTTCAAGCTCAGTATCCGGATCCCGGTGCGTGCTCCGGTGAATGCTTTACCCATGACCCGGCCGTCATAAAGCGCGCTGATGGCAAGTACTTCCGATTTTCGACCTTAGACCTGATCGGTATCTCGACGGCGGACAACTTAGCGGGGCCGTGGACACGGAGTGGAAGTGTGATTCAGGGTGCCAGTGTCATCGACATAGCAGGAAAAGACGTGGTGAGTATTCGAAGTACATTATCCATTTTCAAGTCTACCTACTAGGTATTTGGAAACATTCTAGTTTGGAACTAGAATTTTCTAGTGGTCATCGCTCGCCTCAGAAGCTCCCCAAAATGTTCGCGACGACAAACTGACTCTGGAATGTACTATAGCTATGGGCCCCTGATGTTGTCTACATCCGTGGCAACTACTATTGCTTTTACTCGGTGTCAGTGTCCTCGAGCCACAACTCAGCTATTGGTTATGCAATTTCTACCACATTGGAGTCTGGGTCCTGGAGCGATCAGGGGGCTGTAGTTACCTCAAACAGCAACAGTCCTTACAACGCCATTGACTCTAACATCGTCAACGGGACCGGGGATAACGAGTGGTATATCCAGTGGGGTTCCTACTGGAATAACATCTACCAGTCGCGAGCATCACTCGACGGCAAATATGTCTTTAGATCGGGCAACGAGCACCAAATCGCCTACGAGCCATCGGGGAACCACAAGATGGAGGGCGCCTTTATCTGGAAGCGTGACACCACCTGGTACTTATTTCTGAGTAAAGGTATATGTTGCACATACGACCCCGCCACGGATCCGATCGACCAGGTATACCACATCACGGTTTGCAAGAGCAGTAACCCTGCTGGCCCATATGTGGACAAGAACGGTGTTGCATGCACCAATGGTGGAGGCACTACTGTGCTCGCAAGCCATGGTAACATATACGCTCCGGGTGGTCAGGGAGTCTTCCACGATGACGCGCATGGCGATGTTCTTTACTATCACTACCGTAAGCTGTCGCCCTCAACCCATCAGTAGAGTAAATGTCTCAGGCTAACTTGTTTGACAGTGGATAAATCAGTAGGAGTGAATTATAACCAGTCCAAGTTCGGATGGAACGTGTTAAAATGGGTTGATGGATGGCCTACGGTATAATCCATAGGGGTAATGAGAAGCTCTATCACTTGCTATTCTATCTGATTTATGGCTCATACGCCATTCTAGTCCTGCAGATGAAGTCAGTTAAGATGAAGATCAAGAATAGAAGTCGTTGATCTCACCAATCATCATCGGTAAGCGGGTAAAAGCTTCCAATCATTTGTCGGCCGGGGTTAAACTTGATAAAGGTTACCTTCCTCCTCAGCTTCGTTTTGCTCTTATGTTTTAATTCCCATTTGCACTTTGGGTTCTTCGGATCGGTTACTTCTTGAATCGTGCCGAACATGTACGGCGTTTTTGCGTGCTCAATCACAGTTCCGCGAACACTGATGTTGCATTAGGATTCTTCAATCTTGGATGGAGTGATAAGAAATGGAGTGTCAACTCATTCATGACTTGACATACCTTTCAGCTGTAAGTAATAAGCCATATGGAATTCTGTGGTTGGCATAACCACTCGACGTTTCTGCCACCATATTCGGGTCTCCGCCATCGTCTAGCTTCTTTAGGTTCGCTTTCATCCTCCAGTGGTTGTATCCACGAGGTCTACTCATTTTCTTGAGCACTGCCTCAGACAATAGTAACCTGGCAAGTCCTGTGAGCTCCGTGTGGCCTTCGTAGATAGAGAAGACGTCATCCTCATGGAAATCTATAGTGATTCGCGACCGATCAAGTGCCTCCCAATATACCTCGAAGTTGTGATGGCGATATTTCCATAGCCGATTCTCGTACGCTATATATCATATTCAAAGTGAGTATAAAAAGAGTCGAGAGTAAAATATAAGATTGGCAATACATACATGGGCTCCGACGGCTTAGATCGATGGTATTGGTGCGTGTAGCTATCGCCGTGACTCCTCGCGGACTGGAATATACTTGCTTTCCATCGAATGCAACGCAAGAACAGTCAACGTCAAAGCCTGTCAAAATCTCACTAATCGATTTATAGAGCCTAAGAATAACCTGATGATTGATATCTATCCATTAGCCGATTAACCTTATTTGGTATCCACATAACCTCCTAACGGAAAAGGAGCGAAATCTCTTCTTGTTACCTGGATATGGCGGTACGGCCATCTGGGTGCGATGAACGTGATCGCGTTCTCTGACCGTAACGTTAGCGCATTACTAGAAATTAAGTGCTGGTTCTTGCGAACTAAGGCTTCGATCTCAATAATGCGTTTAGTGGCTGCATCTTCGCTATCGAACCCGTAGAGAAATATGTCGATATCACTTGAGCTCGCAGTATTTCTAAAAGAATGGGTTAGTTTACTCGCCCATACCTTAATAGGTACCTATCCTATCGGTAGGAAACAGCTGGTTTTTAAACAGATATTAAAAAAGAGGGCGTTGAGTACTGGTAATATATTTCACCTGGATTCTGTGTTGTGGGCTCATCCTCTATGTGCACATCTCTGCGGCGCGACAACAGGGGGAGCATCGCAGAGGACCCAGCCACCACAACGTTAGACCAGTCTTCGCCATTAGTTAGTGATTCGAGCGGCTGACTTTTCGGCTTTTAGGTGCTATGGATCATACCTAAACCCGCCAAAACACCTGTACTTTTGAGACATTTTATCAGTAATTAATGCGATTTACAGTGCTTAGGGAGTAAAACTTCACTTTAACTAACCGTGAGTGAATGCATCGAAATTCTTCTGATACGCCTCGAATGACTTAGCAATGGCGAGTCTAGGTTTCTTTTCTCGCTGGCGACCTCTCAATCGCATTAAGTACAGGTCCTTGTCGGCTTTCTCATAGTCTATTGTGCGGATCTTGAACAGACTTTCTTGCCCATCGTAGATCGGAACGAGATTTGCGAGAGCGTCGATGGTTGCGTTTGGACGCAAGAACTCGTAGCGCGGCCGGTTCTCGTAAAGCAGATACGGCTTTACGAGGTCGCGCGTTGGAGTTCTCTTGTTTTCTTTGCTCTGGTTAAGATACGAGATGAACTGTGAAGATGGTGCCGGGAGTGAGGGAGCAGATTCAACTTCTTCATCTGCACTTGTGGTCCCCTCGGTCGAAGCTGAGTAATTGGTGCTATCAGGGAGGCTTAATGCCTCTTCTGAAGTTTCATCACTCACGTCCTCTTCATTGTCTGTACTTGCTGCACTCGAATCATTCGATGCGACCGGTACATGTATTGTGTTTCTTGGATTTGGCGTTTTGAACAGCTTAGCTCGTAGTCTTTTGATAGATTCTCGGAGACGGCGCATGTCTCTCAGTTAGGGATTTGCGGTCCCAATTCCAAAGTGATTTTTGGTGTTTTCTAGAGAAGGCTTCGAAGACAACATCACTACACCCCTTTTAACAAGCTACGCATTTGACTTCGCAATTGTAGGCTCGCTAGTCCTGCCATTTGGGGAATCTTTACATGTGGACGATCTTCATTAGTTGTCTTCGTAGACGAAGTAGGCAATTGATGGCACCTTTTCAGCTCGGATTCTGCAGTGGGTTTTATTGGTTACTCGCTACCTGCACCTATCCTCAACATACATTAGGCACCTACTGGGTACCCGTACAGGTAGGTGCTAGGTAGGTGTTCAATAGCCAAGTACGTTGTATTCAAACACAACCTAGAAACATGATAAGAATTTGTATTATGCAAATGTGAATGCTTCAGGTTTTTAACACAGTATAAGAGCAACGAATCGGTGCCGTTGAAGTAGAAGTATGAAGGGCTCTCATCAAGTACGATCGGCCAAGACGCAGCCTGGACACCATTTATGCAACATCTGCAAGAAACTGCACCTAGAAGTGTTCTTTTCCCACAAAACTAGTCAGCAATCTATTGGAAAGATCTCTCAGTATGCCGATCCAGATTGCCCATTCTGCAGCCTGATCTCCAGAGTCATTGACCGTGCCTGGGGATCAGATGAGAGGGACAAAGCAGGGAGATGCGAACTCCTGATTGAAAGTCGGAGTCCGTTATCCGTCAAGGAACACGGTCATATCCGACATCCTCAGCCAAGACTGGTACTGGCAACTAATCAAGAGCCCCCGAAGTTTCACCACAACAAAACTCCGCCAAGGAAGGTCGATAGAGAGAAGACAGGATTTATCATCGCTGAGATCGAATCTATACCGATTAATAAATCGGATATAAGCTATCTCCCACGGCGAAAGATTGGAAAGTACGTCGACATTAGCCTTGTTGAGGATTGGCTCGATAAATGTCGGAAGCATCGACATTCCAAGGCATCTATCGGACAAGATGTTCATGGCCTCCTATTCCAGCCGCAGTTCCCCTTTCGCCTTATTGACGTGAACAGAGAGTGCATAGTAGAGAAAGATAGAAGATGTGCCTATGTGACTTTGTCTTACGTTTGGGGCGACCTTCCTACTCTCTATCATGGAGGTAAGAGTAGGAGCAAGGGAAAGATACCCATTCTTATGACTCTCAAAGATAATATAAAAGATCTGAAGATTGAGAGAAGCCTATCCGAGTCGAGGTTAGAATCGCCCTCTACAGGACGAATCCCTCAGACAGTTAGAGATGCTATGGAATTTACACAGCAAATCGGAATTCGATATCTGTGGGTAGATACCTTGTGTATCATACAAGATGATGAGGAGGATAGGAAGCGACTTATCTCGCAAATGGGTGACATATACAATTCTGCAACTGTAACTGTTATCGCCGCAGCGGGTAGCAATGCAGACGCTGGGTTAAGTGGCATCAGCCCTAGAGTGGGTCACTCTATTAGAGGGGTCAAGATCGCCGGCGATTCAGGTCGGACAGTTCTCAACCTCTCGATTTCTCTGTCATCTTTATGCGAGGAGGTTCGGATGAGTACCTGGAATACGCGAGGATGGACGTTTCAGGAACAGTCGTTATCGCAACGCTGTCTTTACTTCACCGCCAACGAGGTATTCTTCAACTGCAGCGAATGTCAGCGGAGAGAGGGTTATGATTATGTAGAAAAGAGAAAGACAACTACCGGAGAGGTAAAAATCAAAGCCAGGACGGGACCACCATGGTGGAATACAAACATCAGGTACGATCTCGAACCGACGCCATACAATTACTTAGGAGATATGGGTGATGGGAAGCTGGATCCGCAGTCATATGAATTGGCCGTGCAAGAGTATAGCCGGAAGAACCTCAGGGACCCTTGCGACGTATTCAACGCCTTCGAGGGTATATTTAACAGGTTCCAAAGATCTAAAAACGCCCCTTCGGAAACATTGGACATCTCTCAGGCGCAGGCAATCCCTTCCAGTCTGCTCTACCGATCAATGCTCTGGTTTCCATTACCGGGAGCAGAGAAACGACAGTTGAGCAATCCCATGAAGCTAGGAATCATCAGACTAAGAAAGAAGACTGGACAGTTGTCGTTACGGTCGTGGTCGTGGTATGTATTAATTAGGTAGTATCTACCTAGTACCTTGAATGATGAAACCTAGAAAGCAACTTGCTAACGCAGGAGATGATTAGGACTTCCTGGTCTGGCCCGGTCGAGTTTGTTTTTGAGGATAACCTCTGGCTGCCTAGGAAGATATCACGGGTTCCTATCAAGCGGGTGCCTCTGTACGTACCGATCGTATGCTGGTATTATGGAGGCTCAGAAATCAGCTATTTCTGGACTAGAGATATTTGGAGAACTGCATACATCAGTTCCCATTCCGATACGACTACCTCTCATACCGACAGTGAAGTTACACGCACTAGGAAATATCTCCAGTCCCGCGTTGGCATCAATGTTAAGGTGTTACTAGACGAGTCAACGCAATGTGATGTACCGGGGGATACACTGGAAAGCGGCGAGCTTGGGTTCTTCGCACCATATGTGGTAGCTGAACAATTCCATATCAAGATCAAACCGGGGGATGTCGTTGGAAGTTTAGATGTATCCGGTCACAGAGGAGAGTTCAGGTTCGACGGCGGATACGAACCGATAGACGAGCTTGTTCCAATCGTTGTTGCCGACACACTCAGTAAACCGCCAAACGCGCAATCGATCTTGCTGGGCCTAACTACCACGCGCAAGGGCGTCTCGAAGAGAGTGGGGATCGGGTTCGTACATTACTCGGATGTAGATTTGCCCAAACCACAGTGGAATTATCGGTTCTTCATGGTTAGGTAGCAGGGTAGGTAGGTAACAATATGGCGGGGTGAAGAGGAGGCAAGACGCTTTGGCTATTGCTAACCATCAGGGCTAGGCGTGGCGTACGTAATTGAGGGGCCATTCCACGGACCATTACTGTCTGAGCGGGCTGGCGGGGTAGGTATGCAAGAGAAATCCGAAGGATAAGACTGACCTGACTGCCTGAGTTAATAAGAGGCTCGAGTGGTTAATTCGAAGATTGTGGTTATTGCTTCGTAGCTATGTCATGAGACATCATATCATCTCATAACCACCTTGTACAAACTGACAGAGCAGGAAGTTAGCACTTATGACCTATGCATAACAAGCATAAAGCTTTGAACCCATTCTTTAAATGAAGCTGTAAATCGCGGCATATTCCAGTGATCGGCAACACTAGCACATCCCCTGGCCGTCTTGCGTTAATTACCAACGTCGAACATATGGCGAGGTTGCATGTTTGGACACAGTAGAAACTGGATGCCAAATCGTAACGGCATGGCTTCTTTAAGTATTCAATGAGTGCTGTTCGTAATTCCATATTAGTATCTCGAAAGGGGAGATTGACTGACAGCATGATCTCGAATCTCGATTTCTATGTCGAACCAACACCGAACATGTCCTTTTCGTATTGTAGGTATATTGTGTAACATAGCCACCTTCTGATATTCGGCAAGCCCGAGTGAATAACGATGTTATGATCATGCCAAGGTCTAACGAATGTCATCGGCGGCTCTAGGTGGAGCTAATGAAAATCATTCTTTGGGGTCTTCGTGACACTGACCAGCCATGATGAGGGATAGCCACAGAGAAGTCGCTAGCCAAGTTGATATCTGCAAGGCACTCCACCAAATTTGTGCCCATTCTGGTTCGAACGGGTTTCTTGATATGCTTTTCATTTTAGACCTGATCTAAGTAACTTGGGTCGCCACTTCATGTGATAGGCTTTCCTCACCAATGTTAATCGTATGGATAGGACTTGGAACTTACCTTCTTAAAAGTAGATTTAAATATTTTCTGCACCCAATATAGTTTCTTTTGTCGCGTTATACTATTCTTCTATTAAAAGGAATGTGAAGACTTCCCGTTGTATCCCGGTACCCTAACTATATCACGCGCCGATCCGATCTTGACAGACCTCGAAATGCCTCCTAAAATGTCTACTTTGAAGTCTCGGATGACCATGACAAATATGCCGATACATACTGAGAGGATGCCCCGTCGAGCCATGAGTATCGGCAACCTTAGGGAGAGTCGCCAACGCCAAGAGGTTACGGATCCAGATGATGAAGGTAATGTGAACCGAAGTCATAATAATACGTATTGATACTAACCTCCAGGATAAAGTCGAACTTGCCACTCCGATGAAGATATCAAACTTTGCGGCCGGCAGTGTCAGGATGGTATATCCGAGATCCCGGAGAATTAATACAATGAGAAGCCCAGTGAGACTCCAGGACATTTAAAGGTGATCAAGGAAATTCGTAAGTTGATTGTGGTCGGAATCTTGACAATTCTCTGGTTACTTACCTGTTCTTTTGAAACCCAGGGCAGAGGTCGACGTATAAACATCAACTGCGGTACCACGGAATCTATTCCGAAGCAGATGTTCATCGAGATCGCATATGAGGATTCGTGCGAGAAACTGTGGGCTCATACTAAGGATGTATGCACCTTGGTATTTATGACGGAAGAGGCGCTGTTTGGGTATGAGGGATTTCACTGGACATAGCGCCAGTTTGGAATGGCGTAACCCTTCATAGGTAGCGAACATCCACGGATGCGAACGAGGAATATAGGGAAGAATCCCAGGCTGAGTTAATCAGGCAGGCGAAGGAATCACACAGCGCCCGAGGCAAAGTAGGTAATTGTTATGGCCGCGTGAGAAGGTTCCGAATGCCTGGATGACAATGGCATAGGGTGTTCGTTAACAGTTGTATGGGAAGAACCTGACGATACTTAGATTCTGGAAGTAATGTTTAACATTGTATGGGAAATTACATAGGCCGATACTATTGAAATAACAAGATTCTTTTGTAGCGTCATTAAAGATATGCTTCACTCTATCCAGTACCTATTGATTTGTGATTACGTCATGGAGGTTTATAGCTATATGCCATATAGGATTGGGGATTATTTAGGTAAAAGCTCGGATATTTGGAAATATTATAAACCCCACACTTGACCATCCCACCTTCAGACCTTTTGCTTCAACAACACCAACGTTCAAAATCACCACTATCAAACCGGTAGCTAACAACTTCGTTTATCGGGCTAAGATGGATCCTTCACGTAGTTTTCATCAATTCAATGACCTCCCTAAAGAACTCCGCAACTCGATCTGGGAATATCACTTTCAGAGTCATCGTCTTCACGTGGTTCATCCCGGACCCCAGAGTGAGAACATAAATTCGATGAAGGAAGTCTTATCATATTCCTGCACCATCTTAGATCCCGCAACCAATATTATCATTAAGGATGCACGCCCTCCTTCCCCAGCCATTAACCGCGAGGCCCTTGAAGTATTTCAATGGTGTAAGCGCAAATGGACCCCTATTACCTTCACCAAGGATCTCCCCGAGTCCGTGACGTCGGGTCGGGGTCGACTGCCTCCCCAATTCGCTCAGTTGGCCTCCACTAAGATCAACCTCCCAAAAGTAAACGACCGCCCTATCTATGTCGACTGGAGCCGTGACCTGCTCTACATTTGCGCTGCGCACTCCGAGCAGGCTTTCTGGTCTCTACGTTCGACTCCATGGCGTGGTGACGTTCGGAGTTTAGCGCTGCTTGTACCCCACACCGGGTTTGCCGGCGCCATCCCGTTTGGAGCATCGGCCCCTATCCGCGAGGTTCTTGAATGTATGTCGGGACTCGAGGAGCTATTTATCGTGTTTATCCCTCACGAAGGCACGAAGCACTCTCCCACTACTAGCGAGAATATCGCCAAACTTAAGAGGGACATGCACGGTTTCGTCCCCTACGTCAGCTATCTCAAGGAAGCTGGTCTCGCGACAAGCCTTATGCTCTATAACCGCGCCGCAATGTCAATTAACAAGGCTATGTCTGACGCACCGAAGAAAATCAAGATCGAGAAGGTTGTCGATGTCGATTATCTCACTACCCCTTTCGGCCACTATAAACGGAATGTCCGTGTGCCCTAGGCGACAGCTACTTCGACTTAGCGCTCATATAGCAAAGTCGGTTTATTCAGAGTTCTCGCCTTTTAGGCTTATATAGGGAAATCTAGTTTCAAATTCAGAATTATTGACCTATGAATCGTTATCATTTTCTAATTTCGAAATGCTGTTAAATTCAGATACCCGATAATACTAATTACCGTAGCGAGAAATAGCGTAAGATAGCAATGATTACAATCGTCAAATAATCATTACAGAAGGTTTGGGATCATTGGAAAATTTTACAACCATTAGAATACCTTAGATTCAGATCAGGCGACCCAGGTAACCCAGGCGCCAGCAAGATCGACGATACTATTATCATCTCCCGCCACCTCTCAACCTTAGAATTATCTTATATTTTCAGCACCACCCCGCCCTTCCCACGCCACTTTTGACATCACTTTTTGTATCACTTTTCCTTTCTTCCTATTTTCACACACACACACACACACACACACATTTGTAAATGGGTAGACTACTAATTTTCTAGCTTTTCAGGTCTCCAGAGGTAACGATATATCGCTTAAGGAACTTGATTTGCAGGTTACAACAAGGAAGACGAGGATTATGGTTAGAAGGCTCTAATAAGAGGCTTCATTATAGATTTCAAAGAGTGACTATAAGCTTAAGTTGACTACGGCCGTAGTATACTACATACTGAAATACAGGGGACCTACCCCTTTATACCATAAGGAGTGTAAGGCTATCCGTCCCGTTAGATATAACCTCATAAACCAAACACGGAAGATCCATTTCTCCTATATGATATCCCATTGATCATCTGTCCGTCAGTCTGAACTTCGTAGTCGACTTCCTGATCCATATCTAATTTAGCCAAGATTCTTACAGAGGATATGGGTTGTGTGAACAGGGGTCTTACTGGCAAGCAAGCTCAGATTACATTGAAATTCCAGCGCCAGCATTTCCGCCTTGAGCAGAGCCTCCGCTACCACCGCTACCGAGATTGGAGCCTTGGCCAGTTCCACCGGTCAAGTTTCCGCCCTGGGAGGTACCTTTGACATCGTTACCGCTGATAGTCTTGTTGGTGTCATGGCTATCAACGGTAGAATGATCCTGGGCTGTCTTGCTTCCAGCCGGGGCAGTGGAGCTGTTCTGAGGCATATTGAATGTTCAATTGAAGAGTGTTTAAGTAGAAAGTTCTGGGTCGGGAGGGTAAATTCTTGGTTTAGAGAAGTTATTGACGGAGGGTCATTTGGGAACCACAACGTGAATTCAAGCCAGACTAAATACTATCTGAGATCTCTTGTTTATCAAATCTCTCTTACCGCTTTTCTATCCTCGTCCCGCCTTAGGAACCACGTTCGTGTAACGCCCAACCTATAGGAGGGCAGGACGACATAAAGAAATACCTTGCTTCCTCCTCTGGAATTACAGGGCCAAGACTTTATATTCAGAAAAGGGCCTATTAACTGTTTTCATACAATTACTTCTTCTTGTTCTCTAGATGTTTTCAGTACTTACCTAGGTATTATTAAAAACAGGTCATGCCATTCGTAGCCACCAAGTTTCATTTCAGCTTAACTCAGTGAGCCAGAGTGGGTCGAGGCTTTTCGAATGAGAATACAATGATTGGCGCTCAATGTGTGATATCTTTGATGGCTTCCAAGGCTTACATATGTTCCAAGGTTGTGTAGGTACATACCCACCTTTGTTGCTTTCCCGGCCCTTAAGTTTATGCCCAAGAACGTTGGGAACTTTTCTGAAGCTTACGACAACCTTGATTCTTTTGAGACACCTGCAGAGCTCAGCCAGGTTAGGACAAGCCGATCTGCCCTCGGTGGTCTTTCACGAGGAATACTTACCTAGATACCTAGGTAGGTAGGTAGTTAAAAGTTAAGGATCGACAACAATCCTCCATATATCAGTATCAAAGCAGAGGCCAGCGACACCAGGTTTATTCTATTGTGAACAATTTCACAAAGGACGATCGGTTAAGCTTACTGGGGGCTCTAATTATAATCGTGATACTAGGTACTACCTAAGGCATAGAGGCCGTCCATAATTTCTAGAAGCAACGGTTAGGTTAAAACCTAATTAGGCGTACGCTTAATAATCTATACTTTAATTCAAGGTCATCGTGTATGGCATGTTTGAGAGGATGAAAGTGGCTATAGTATCACTCTCAATCGTATTCTTTCTTTTCCATGCCAAGAACGAATGCAGCTTTTGCATAATTCCTATGATGAGGTTATGTTGTCTCGGAGGGTATCTGTAAAAGGAATATAAGCTGCTATATCAATAGAGTCTTTATACATATGACAATGTAAACCAGTTACATTGATAGAGTACAACCCTGCCGAATTCACGGATCATCACCGATCTACCCCATTCCAAACAAAAACAAAAGCTGCATACGACACACCTACCTAATGAGTAGGTAGGTACATACCTGGGTAGGTAGGCTGTTCGGAGTCCGGATTTGTTGCCAGCCTCTCGATACTGTTTGTACCCGACCGGAGCCTCACATATGTTCCTTTCCACATCTAATAATTTAATTCGATTTCTTATTCGCGTTTATCATACTCCTTGGCTTCCAGTAGGGCTCATATATCGCCTCCTTTCGTCCGGTTAATAATCATACGTCATCCTAGTATTGATTGAGCTTGAGAATGTGTAGTCTGGCTGTCTGGGTGAATTTCATAGACAATCCCCACGGGGTAATTGCTTTTGGAGGGCATTTTTACCATGGATGAGTGGGCTAATTCCTGGAAACTTTACATCTTACTGGAGACCACTCGGTCCCGATACTGTCAATTCGAGTCCAGTTGACCAATGAACGCGCGCGGTAGGCTTCGTGGCTTTGGTCTGGGGCGTCGACCGTGCGATCCATCTGATTACCTAGTAAGTTGGTATATAAGCGCACCTTCATTAGGTAGTCATTAAACTATAAACTAAAAGGGGGTGCGCTTAAAAAGTCAGTGGGATATTTTAACGATCAAGAATCAGCTCAAATCAATTGTTAGTCCAAAAGTACCTAGGCAAAGTATGTTGAATGGTTCGTTGAATTAGAAAATCAATACCAACTAGGTACTAAGCTTCTACGTCGTCTCTGCGCTCCTTGATACTTTTGAGGGCGGGGATATCGGAAAACGCTGGAGTTAACGGATGAGAAAGAGAGTCAGTGCCGGAAATATCGGAATTACCGTGATAGAAAACCTTCTCCCGTACAATTATATCTTGTTCTACACAACTCTATTCTTACAAATAGAAACTCTTAGGAAAAGTTCTTCTTGTCTCAGGGAGATTGCGTGAGTAACCAGATTTTGACAATATCTCCCAAAGCACAGACCACCTTAAATGAACCTAATCTGATCAGAAGATACGTAGAGGGAAATGTGTATCTGACAATTATTACCCTCGCTAAACTCGGACACTTCTCAAACTCGGGCATAGCATGATTCTAAGAATATTAATCATTCTTAATCGTCAGTAGTTCCCAGTATAGTAAGTACCCCCTCCTGAAAGCACCCATTTACTCGCTAATTCCTAATCTCAGACGTTAAAAACTACCTACAGTACTGTGTCCCCTGTATGTCAGCCGGGTTTAGCCGATAGCACCTATGATTCGGGCTTCAGTATGTGAACTAGCGCATAACTAAAATATGAGCAACCCCCGTAGTTTCACCCAAGCCGTTTTCTTTGGTATTGATAGGGACTCGATGGTTGATTCTATAATCATATTTTTGGGTTATGGTAGGCTCGATTTTGATCCGGATAGAGACTGTTAAGGTGCTGGGTTGAAAACGCCAGTAATTGGTTCATGAGATAGGAGGTTGATAGCGCGGAAGTTATATGTGCTTGGACGAGGGGCTCCATGGGTTGAATGGCCACCATCCTATCGGACTCGCTAGTTTCTACATGGTGGAATAAACTTAAATGTTGAGAGTCACCGGAGTCTCGAATAGGTGGCCAAGTTTTCGCAGTCGTCGGGGGCTTCAGAAGTTTGGATATGAATCGCAGGTCTATCGAGGACCGTGTCGCTGGCGACTGCTCTTCCAGCAAAGTATACTGATCCTCGAAACAACATGCTCGATCTTCACTCTCGCAATTCCCGCAACTTGGCCGCTTTCTGTTACATTGGATCTTTCTCATCTTGCATTCTAGACAGCATGTTCGCGAGTTCTTGGGGAGTAAGTGCCTTTTCGTTTTGCTGAGCCATCGTCGCATGGTGTCTAGAACAGCGCCTCGTCCCAGTAGTAATTGGTTAAAGGCGTGACTGTACAAACAAGTATTTTAATTATTAGAAAATGGGATAAATTAGAGCATATCCACTGGAAGGGGTGAATTTCGTTCATGAAGTAGGGTAGAACGGACCTTCCGGGTTACTTGGACCCTTTACTATACTTCTATTAAGATATTCATGTATTTTAACTAAGCTTTTTATTTTATAATATGATTAAAAAAGGTACTTAAAGTACCCCATAACTAAATTACGATATATAAATCGTATTAAAGACTTAACTGTGGTATACTACTAGGTAGTTGTCTTGAATTAGTGCACTAAGGCTCCAGGGCTACTTTACGCGTAAAATACCCCCTAGACTGACGCAAAGTAACACCGCAAATTCCAGTAACTACCTACAACACCTCAATGATCAACATTATAAGATAGACTGCGGGTGTAATTGGTTGGATTAACATTACACGAGCCATGTATCCCTTTCCCCAAAGCCTTTCTATAGCCTACCTTAGGTACCTAGTTAATATGGTAGTTGTGGAGGATGGAATATACGCGAAAGACCCCTTAGACTGCACAATCCTAAGTATACCTACTAGGTAACTAATAACACTGATTAATCTAGTATTTAATGAGCTTGTTGGCTCTATTTCGTTAAATTTAGCATATGATTAGCATTATGACACCGTCGTTGTTAACTGTCAGGTTAAGGGGTGTGGAAAAGGGATGCATTCTTTCATTAGCTTATTATACATACTTATACACGGGATGTCTCTCCTGACTGAATTAAAACTCTGATCCTACCTATGCGACGGCTTGTAAAGACCCTACAAGATTGACCCCCTCAGGACTGCAGGGAGCTGTTGGGCCACTGTACGTGCTTGCGCTTCATTCTGAAAGCCGTAAGGCCGAGAGCGTCAATTTGCGTCCCGTATGCTTGTCTATCATCGATGGTTAAACTACTTGTCAAAACTGCGAACGATAGCCATTATATCTAAATTAATTGGTTGGATGTGGCTATTAGCTACCTATTCCAAGAAATCGTTCTAATTACTAGATCACCCTTGTAACTAGCATCTTACTGCTTATAGTGGCACGAGTCGTCCAGGGCTCACTATAAGCCGGTTGGAATTCGTGAAATTATTGAGGTGGCTTGACATCTGAAATTCTGGCTAGAATCTCAACCAGTTTATTTTGTCGTGCTTCATCTTCTGCCGACTTCTCATAACTCGTTTCACGGCCCGGTCCCTTCGAAGTTCTGGCGCGGGTCTGGTACCAAAACCCGCCCGTTTTGCCCTCAGCGGCGCCCGATCCCTCAGCTAGTAGCACATAAGTATCAACGGCGGCATCGAGATTGTCGGGGGCGTTCGAGCCACCCATTTTCGTTGCAACCCATCCCGGCTGACCAACAACTAGTTAGCAACGCATTCGCCATACCTAGCTATAGGGTATACAGGTATATCATATGTCTCAGAAATGTAAGATTATTTCTGGGACAAGTCTATAAAGGGACAAAACCATCGAAATCACATACGTTAAGGGCATTGCTCAGAACTCCCCTATCCCCGAATTTACGGGCAAACCAGAAGGCGAGCAAAACATTGTGTAACTTGGTGTCACTATATCCAGCTTCCTGAATGTTGCGTAGCGATGCGTCGCCACCATGATGCATGCCACTGCTGACAAACACAAGGCGTTTCGGTGGGGGATCGACTAGAGATGACAATATATACGGCGCCAGGGTGTTGACTGCAAAAAGCGCTGGGAGCCCCTCTTTGCCCTTGAGATGAGATACGCCATTCATAAGACCGGCGTTATGTACGATGGCGTCCCAGGGACCTGTCTGGTTCAGTTGCGTTGCTAACGACTTGGTCTCTTCCGTCGATGTTAGGTCTGCGACAAATACATCTTTGGCTTCTGGGCACGCAGTGCGGGCGTCCTGCGCCCTCTGATTGTTGCGTGCGTGTAAGTAGACGTCATGTCCACGCTGGGCGAGAGTTCGCGCTGAGCGTAGGCCAAGGCCGTCTGATGAGCCAGTAATAAAGATACGAGCCATGTTGAGTATAGTAGAGGTGAATTCGCACACTTATTCCCGCAATGTGGAAGGGTTTATGTAGATTACAGCTTGCTTTAATACCAGTAGAATAGATCGGACCTTTCGGCTTGTAACAGAATCTCGCTAATGTGGAGCTGAAGTCTCACGGAGTATCATAGCCGTCCTTTTTATCCATTCAAGGTCTAGATCGTATGTATGTATGGCTCGCGCCATCGAGGTGTATTACCAATCCATTGTGTGTACCTGCCTAGATAGATAAGAAGGTGGTCATAGAAGATAGGAGTGACGTCATTGGGATTTTGTCCTCGTAAAGTGGGATCTATTCAAATCAGTAGCGTTTGTATCATGTTGTGGAAAATAGATTTGTGGTGTTGTTACAAATGTGTTTCTGGTTGCGACATGACCTAGGTAAGTAATATTGTAAGGAATCATATGAAGTACTATCCAGGGTATTAACTATCTCTTTAATGTCTATTTAAGGCATTAAAAAGCCGCTGTATACACGGGTTACGGTTAAAATAGTTACTATTTAGTACAGGGAAGAAAGATGAAATGTTGAAATAAATCAACATGCTAATGGTATTTATGGATGTTGCGCTGGGCGTTTCTCAATCCCACCTGCCCCGCCATAGCGCGGGAACAGTGGATCTATAAGCTTAGCGTATCTAGGTAGGTACCCACCTAGGGAACTCTTTGCTGCATGGCGCCTGCCCTGCTGCCCTCCAGGGCAAGCAGCGGGGTGGAGTTCAGCTTTACCTTCCAAGATTCTTTTATCTTTTGTTTGACCAAACCATCCAACTTCATACGAAAAACAACGACAACGACAATAACTGCCAATTTCGACGAGAATCATGGTAGAAGAGGAATTGAACACGTAATCACTGTGACAGCTCAATTCTAATTTATATTTCAGTTCCTGCGATATCGTACATGATGAGTACGCGAAAAGCTAACGGCGTCTTGCCGGTCTCTTCCATCCTAGCGACTAATGACGCGCCAAAGACCAAGGCTAAGGAGCCCGCTCGAGGCAAGAAAGTCATTGTTCGTCGCCTCCCGCCTGGTATTACCGAAGCCGAATTTTGGGCTATCCTGGGAGATGAATGGAAGAGTGGGAAAGGCAAGGTGGACTGGACAAAATTTCAAGACGGCCAGGTTTCCCAGGAGTAAGTCCTACAAATTACTTATATCCGGCTGCCATTGGAGTGTGACATTTGGCTAATTTTGCGCGCTCAGTCCCTCAAATCCATCCAACCCAGCACGATGTTATCTCCAAGTTTTACGAACCGATGATATCCCAGTATTGGCAGAGGTCGTTCAAAGATCGATTTGGGAGGATGAGAAGAGGACGTTTAATGACCCTGCCCTCGTTGGACCCCCATACCTAGAGCTTTCTATCTATCAGAAAATACCGACGACTAAGCGCCGCACGGATTCAAAGCAGGGCACTATCGATCAAGATCCCGACTTCATGGCTTTTCTCGACAGCCTCACTCAAGATCCAGCTGTCAAGGAAGTCGAAGCTGAACAGGTAGCTGACGACTCTCCCAAGGAAAGTGTGAAGGTCACCACAACGCCTTTGGTTGAATATCTTAAAGAGAAGAAGGCGAATAAGGGCAAAGAAACCACTAATACTAAAAGTGGTAAACACGGTCGACATGAATCTCAGGGTGGGAAGACAAAGGGGAGCCAAGAAGATTCCAAGAAGAAGGGTAAGGAGTCCAAGGGCGAAAAAGCAGAAAAGGCTTCAGAGAAGGATGAGAAGAAAGCAAAGGAACCCGTAAAACTCCTCACTAAGAAAGCAGCGGCACAAGAAGCCGCGGAAGCCGCTAAATCCACCCCCGCCTCGACTACCGCAAGCAAGACAACTGAGGAGGCGGTGCCAAAGAGCCGACGAGCCAACATAGCTGCCGCCGCCAAGATTTTGCAACGCGATCTCGGTCTTAGCCCTGGAAGTGCTCATAGAAGAGCTCGTCAGGATGCCGCTAAGGCGGAAGCAGCTGCTAAAGTTGATTCTGGCAAGGAGAAGGATAGCAAAGACACTGTCTCTACAACCCCCACAACATCAACCCAGCCCGCTTCGTCAGCACCCCCATCTGCTCCAACTGCTCCGAAAGCCCAAGCGGCAGAGGGCTCACGTCGATCCCGAGGTGCGAAGGCTGCGAAGCAAAATACATCTAGCGATACGGCTAAAGGCAAAGAGGGTGCAGGCAGCACAACGAAATCAACCCCGGTGACTACACCCGTTATTCTCAAGAGAAGAGATGATAATCCTCCTACCGGACCGGCTTCAACGGCCCCCGCCACCACGGCTTCTGCAACCCCTACACCCCCAACCGGTCCTAAGGCTGCTACTGGTAAGGCTTCGACGTCCAAATCAGGTCCCTCGCAGAAGAAAGGATCTGGTCAACCTTCAATTACTGCAGGTGCAACCCGTGCTTTCGTAAAGCATGCCAACCCATCACAAGGAGTTACAGAACCGCTACTTAAACAGGCTATGGAAATCTATGGTCCTGTTACATTTGTCGAGATAGATAAGCGGAAAGGTTTTGCCTACGTTGACTTTGGAGATCACGACGCTCTAGTCAAAGCTATTACCGCGAGTCCCGTATCTGTTGCACAAGGTACCGTTCAGGTATTAGAGAGAAAGGAGATTAAGAAGCCAACACAGGCACCAACACAGCCTGCGGCTGAAAAGGCGAGCAGCGATGCTCCACCAGATCGCCCCAAACGTGGTGGTCGTGGTCGAGGTCGCCGAGGAGGTGGTAATGCAAACAACGCGAACACGAACGCAGCCAGCGAAGCATCTAGCTCTACGACGCCAGTACACGCCGTGGTTACAGATTCCAAGGACTCCAATGCTGCAGCTCCAACAGGTTGAAGGGCGATCGTGGGTTGGTTATCGCTAATTTCACGCCACTGAAGTTATATTTTTATGATAATCGCGTCTCGAATAACCGCAACAGTCGATCGGCTCCTATGCCCATTAGGTAATATCCTCGAGGTGGATTGGCTGCTTTGCAAGCTAGGTATGGATGCTATGGATTGATATGGCATCTGATCACACAGTCGTTATGATAGGAACCGCCAGTATTTGGAGTTACTCGAGACGTGGAGCTATACCAAGCGATCACGAGCTATTCTGATATGGATTCGCGGCCTACAGAATAGCCGCTGAGTAGGTATGGCTTAAGTCATAGCTTCAAGCCTTATTTTATCATCACTACTACTGACCTGGTACATCACAGTTCTATTAGGATAGTAGAATACCTGGTTAATGCTATCACCTACAATAAGAGGTTAATGGCCAGCAAATGCAATCGGAATAACTAAGTACACTCATCATTATCCATCACCGCTTTCAATATTGTCATCTCTTGGCTTCCTGGTGATTCATGTTTATTTTTTATAAGAGAATGAGACCTCTTTTGCTATTGAGTGAACACATGATTCCAGTTGCGTCATAAAATAAATAGATTATGTAAGGTGGGGGATAATAAGAAAGCGCGTACCTAGTAATTTTGTATATATATACGTACGGAACCTTCCTAGGTTTACCCGAAAGTGAAGCTTAATAATCGGAATAATCATTAGTGCGAACCGAACCGAGATGGACGGTGCTCAACCTCGAAGGTTGGCCGTTAATACTTGCGCCTGAACCTTAGGAGAGACTGTATCCCATCTAAACTCGCCATTACCGCGCAAACTTGCTTGAAGAGACGAACTTATTGTCTCCGACGGTTTTTGCGATAATATTCAGAAACCCTCTCAGAAAAAGAGCCTCCTTTATTCAGCTGTTCCGGTCTCCAGTTAGGAGACGCAAATAATATCCGACACTCGAAACAATCCGAAGATAAGCATCTACTCTAGAAATTACAGACATTTTGGTGACGCGCAACCAAATTCGACGAGTGTTCTCAAGACCCCCGAATTCTTGACAGCTAGACACCTTCGATATAGCGTCTTAGAAGCTAGGCGACGACGTCTTATTGAATAACTCCTATAGGACTCGTCTTTAATAGAGATTCCGAATTATCTAGTTGGGGCATTCAAATTGCTACCTATCCAATCGGTCGCGTCGCACACATATCGAGCGCCATTATAATTAGCTTGACAACACGTCGAGGCAATCATTATTATACACTTGTACACATCGCAATGAGTTCTTCCAGACCTGCCGTCCCGAAGCCGGGGCCGGCAAAGCTGACGCCCGGTTCTGGTTTGGACGAATGGCTCGAACAAGCTAAGCAATGTCGTTACCTACCGGAGGCAGTAATGAAGGAACTCTGCGAGATGGTTAAGGAAGTCTTGATGGAAGGTATGCTCATATTTGCGCCACGCTGGTAGGGTTTCTCTAACCTCTTCTTTCCTAGAATCCAACATCCAACCGGTAGTTACTCCGGTCACTATTTGCGGCGATATCCATGGCCAATTTTACGATCTACTAGAACTTTTCCGCGTCAGTGGTGGTATGCCGGGTCAACCTGTGACTGAGGCTCCTGTAACCTCAACTTCCGTAATTACTTCAGCAGACATAGAGCCTCCTACCGAGATTACTAACCCAAAGTTAAAGAAGAAAATAAAGAAGCCGAAGAACCCAATTGGAGATGTTCCTGGGCTTCCTAATGAAGAGTCCACTAATGCAGAAGAGGAGGATGAAGAGGGCAACGAATCTCCAAACGCCTCCCAACGAAATTCCTCAGATGCTTCAGCGAACGTCAACAATGCCGACACTCGCTTTGTGTTTTTGGGTGACTTTGTGGATCGAGGGTACTTCAGTCTTGAGACTTTTACACTACTTATGTGTTTGAAGGCAAAGTAAGGAAGACCAAATAACTAGTGCTTCATAACCTTTCATTCTAACTCTCCCTAGATATCCCGATCGCATTGTTCTTGTTCGCGGTAATCACGAATCTCGACAGATTACTCAAGTGTATGGTTTCTACGAAGAATGTCAGCAAAAGTATGGAAATGCGTCGGTTTGGAAGTCGTGCTGCCAAGTTTTCGATTTTCTGGTCCTGGCCGCCATCGTGGACGGGGAAATACTTTGCGTCCACGGAGGATTAAGCCCCGAGATCCGTACAATCGATCAGATCCGTGTTGTAGCTCGGGCACAGGAGATTCCTCACGAGGGAGCATTCTGTGATCTGGTCTGGAGCGACCCCGAGGAAGTTGAGACTTGGGCTGTTAGCCCAAGAGGCGCAGGTTGGCTCTTTGGCGACAAAGTAGCGACGGAATTCAACCATGTCAACGGCCTTAAGTTGATTGCTCGTGCCCACCAACTTGTCAACGAAGGCTACAAGGTAAGTTTATATACTCTAGAACATTATTTCTTCATTTGCTTATTCGCGAATAGTATCACTTTCCACAAAACTCGGTTGTTACAGTTTGGTCAGCGCCGAACTATTGTTATCGCTGCGGAAATGTTGCCTCAATTATGTCCGTGGATAAGAATCTAGATCCGATGTTTAGCATTTTCTCAGCCGTTCCCGATGACCTGAGGCACGTACCCGCAGGACGACGTGGCCCGTCTGATTACTTTTTATAATGCGTTACTACTGAATTGCAACATTCCGTGACGAAATTTCGAGACTCTTGATACCACTACCACAAAGGCGTTTTAGGGAAGGATTTTTTCCCATATCGGTTTTTTTGCAAGGCATGAAGGAATGACGGACGCAACAATGAATAGGTTATAGACAATGAGGCTAGGGGCATGTATACGTCGCCAGTAAGAGCAATTTTTAGTGATAACAAGGTGGAACCGTATTACGGGGCATGGCGACGCGAATGATCAACCTGTATAGTAGAAGCTTGGAAGGACCACGTCAGGGGTACATGGGTCGGGGGTAACCTGGCCTCCTGGTGTGCCTAGGACATTGTATGAAATTTACTTGATATTAAATCGTTCGCCATATGAGATAACGTGTGGTGATCAAATATCAAAACTTATAACTTATTATGATTCTTTCGTGTAGGAATGATTATGTAAGCCTTGAATAGTGATCTGGGACTTGGGAGCTTCGAAGTTTAGAACCTTGAACAGAGTGATATTTATTTATTACGTAAGTGGGTGTAGAGGGGTTCCCCCAAAACTTTAACCCCACCAAATCCAACTCAATTCACTCTACGCGCAACGGCGCGTCGTCTCCAGTACAACGATCATCCATTTAAAGCCAAAAGGTTAAACCTAACCCCACCAACTATTAAACACCTTGCGCCAATCACTACAACCTGTAGCCCGCAACATTTTATATCCCAAGGTTGATTGCATTGAGTCCTTCGTAAAAAGGCAAACAACACCATGTCCCAACAACTCCAGCGCTCGATGTCGGCGTTAAGCACGCGTGACCGTGACCGGGAGAAGACGTACTTCGAGCAGCAGCGGGAGGCGTTGATCGGCGAGATAGCTATGGTTTGTCTTGTCCCATTGGAACTACTTCGAGTTGCTAGGATAAATAAAAGTATCTGGAAAGAAAGCTAACACGGTGTAAACAGAGCTTCGAGCACGTTCTCGCCAACATCAACAAGCTAAACCGATCGCTCGAGGCCGTGGTCGCGGTAGGAAACGAGTTCTCGTCCGTCGAGGCGCTATGGTCACAGTTCGAGAACGTCATGGCCAAGGATCCCGAGGACGGTAAGGCCGGTTCCGAGGGTGAGGAGGGCCAGGGTCAGCAAGGGGAAGGGGAGACTACTACGGCGGGAAAAAGTTCATGAAAATAGTCTTGTGGGGGACTCTATGAAAGAGGGGAGAGCGGGAAGAGGAACCTGCTCCGGGGGATGCTAGAGGACTACGAGTGGATGCCAGGAACGATTAATCACGACGATACCCGCTTCGGCTCCACGGAGCCGCAGCACATTAGACTACGCATGTCACATTCGAGCAATAGGCACAAACAGCAAAGTGTCATGAATTTCTGAATTTCCTATCCCATGCCATGAAGGATAACGGGGCAAGCAGTGCCAAGAGCAGAAACTAGAATTCGTACAGCAAAAGGAGGAGGGACAAGATCCTCCCTTTCGTAAACAGACGCATGATTGGTACACGTAACTTCACTTCTTCACTTGTTTCCAGTAAACCATTCCAAGGTCGTCTCATCTCTTTCTTCTCATCGGCGGCGGTAATTTTCCAGGCGAAACGGGAGCAAGCGTGTTCTTCATTATCTTTCGTCCGAGAAATAAAAACAACTTTGCGTAACCATTAGCTATCGTGAGGTGGTGTGGGCGGGCGAGGTAGAGCCAAGCCGAGCCGAGCCAAGCCAGGTGTGAGCCAGGTCCGAGGCAAAAAAACAAAATAGATGGACAAACACCAAGTGCCCTTCCATGATCCTAATCATTAGACCCTTATACGAAGGTTGCAAGAGAGAAAAAAAAGGGACTCGCGGGAACGCCACGCACATCAACGTCTTGAAATGCAAGATATCTCTCTTTTTGGGAGAAAAGCAACAAAACGGTGAATCCCAACCTTCCCTGTCCGAGGTCGTGAGAGTAGAGCAAGAAAAAGTGTAGTCGTCGAGAAAGGAAAATGTTGTCATGTAAGAGGTCATTAGTAAGTTTGTTTCTCTCTCATCCATCCATCTCGATATCTCCGTAGGAGGTTGGCTCTCGTAAGCCATACAGTTCCAGGACTGGAGCCTCGGTAGGGACATTCACAGGAAGTTACAGTTCCGCTTCTTCTTCTTAAAAGCGCGGAGACCGGGGATCTTATCGCTGCTGTGTTTACCGCCAGAGGAGGTAGGACCGGGCATCGAGGTGGGGGCGGCAGCCATAGCAACCTCGAGGTTACGTCGGTCGTTGGCTACCACCGTCTGGATCGCTCGGTCGAAGATCTCATCAACACCAGTCATCTCCTTGCTGCTGCACTCCATATACTGTGCACCCATCTTCTCGGCAATGCCCGCGCCTTGCTCGGTAGTAACGGGTGTAAGACCTTGAGCATTCAGCAGGTTGACACAAGCCTTGTTGCTTCGTAGATCTGATTTGAGGCCGACGAGGATAAGAGGTGTGTAAGGACAGAAGTGGAGGACCTCAGGATACCACTAAATCCCTTGTTAGTTGTGTTTCTTGCCTATGTACTATATACTATGATGCCATGGTATATATAAAATCGAGATTGTAATAGAAAGATGGCGACGAACCTTGTCTAAGACGTTGTCAAGCGAGTTGGGGCAGTCAATAGCAAAGCAGACGAAGATGAGATCGGTCTCGGGGTACGATAATGGTCGGAGTCTGTCGTACTCTTCTTGTCCAGCTGTGTCCCATAATGCAAGCTCGACGGTCTTACCACTGGGCTGGTGGGTCGGATAGGTGATGTAGTTCTCGAAGACGGTGGGCACGTATTTCTGGATATGATGTTAGTTTCCGGCGCAAGTTGATTTGTTGGGTTGTTAAAATAGAGGGGACGGCGATGAGGTGGGGGGTGTGGTTCTACCTCAGGGAAATAGCCTTGGCTGTAGCTAATCAACAGACATGTCTTGCCGCAACCACCATCACCAACCACCACGATCTTCTTGGAGTAGGCCGGTGCCTCCGTCATGTGGGTTGCCGACGATTCTCTGCCCGTAGACGCGCTCATAACTGTGCTGACGGTTCCCTCGCTTGATCGTGTGTTACGCTCCTTGCCTGTTCCACGTCGCTGAACACCACTGTCGTTCTTCTCACTCGTGGCTTGACCTCCACCGCCAAAGTAAGAATTGCGAGATGCCATTATTAGGCGTGTCGCGGTTGGTAAGGAACTCGTGTAAAGTGGCTCGATCGGAATTTTTGCCAATAGGATAAAAAGAGTAACGGGGCAATTCCAAGTTGTGTCTTAATTTACTTCACCGTCGAGATTAGGATTGAAAGGAAAGAAATGTAGATAGTAGGATTAGGATAAGTGGTCTCGGAATGGGACGATAGTGATAAAGATTTGAGGAATGGAATGCGGAAATGTGGATGGGAATTAAAGGTGAAACTTTTTCGTCAAGGTTCGTGTTCGACGAAATTGTTGAAAATAGGTAAGAATGGATTTGTTAAAACAAACCAGCAGCATTGAAGTTCAGGGAAAATGTGGGCGTCTGAGGCTCAGTGAATTGTGCTGGTTGGTTAGTTGGGTTCCAAGGTTGGTGCATTTCGTCAGAGCATTAGTAGTAAATAATAGAAATTCAATTGGTAACGTCGACCTGGCAACCACGGGTCATACAGTTTGTTTCAGCTGGCATAAAACAGCCCCCCACCTGCCGGTTAAGAAAACAATCTGAACCAATCAGCTAACGAGAATACCCCAAGCAAAGCGCAGCTGGGTGCACTGATCATTCACTAAAAATTCACTAAAATCTATCGAAATCGGCACTAAATTCCGCCACAAAGCACTGCACCCGTGCACCTACATAGTACAGTACCTAGGTACCTATCCAGCAGTCCAGTTGCCAGTAGCAGTTTATTTAAGGCGCAAGAAGCTCCACCCAATACGAAAACTCTTCCACAATCGCGATTTTCCTTCCGACCTCTCTTCTACATCTCAAAGCAGTAAAACCGGCCCTTCGAGGAGAACTGCCAATATGATGGACAAGAGATACGTCACTCTAGTCTCTAGTGACGGCTACGAGTTTGTAGTGCTTCGAGAGGCAACATTCATCAGTCCTGCCATCAAGGGCATGCTAGATCCCAAGAGTGAGCTTTTTCATCTTATCTGAATTCATCTACCACCTTGGAATAATATTAACCTAGGTTAGGTCAATTCTCCGAGGCCAAAACCGGCCGATGCGTCTTCCAAGAGATCACGTAAGTCAACTATTCACCTCTCAAGCATATCATCAGCCATCACCTTCCGCTACTCATCGTCAGTGATGAATCACAATATTTCGCTGTGTTCTTACTGACAGACCATTTTCCTATGGTCTGAATGACAGCACACTACACTTGATCTGAGACATCTCATCCCCCTCCAACCCATCATCAATCCCTATCGTCATACGCCTAAATTAAAGGAATGTCCGACGCTAATTCGATTACAGCGGCGCGGTGCTCGAGAAGGTAGTCGAGTACTTCCAGTACTGGTACAAATACCGCGATCAGGAGAACGCTCCAGACATGGACATACCTGTCGAGCTTTGTCTTGAGCTGTTGATGGCTGCGGACTACCTGGGTCTTGACAGTAAGGCTACATGTCCACAGCCTTGAAAATCCAGTCGAACTCACACATCAACCTTCCTTTACAGAACAAACGTAGACTCCCCACTGGACCGGAGTTGACTGTACCGAAGGAGTTGATGGACTAGACACGAGATATGACCGGCGTTTACTGGCTTTAAGATACCACGGTGTGATGAACAAGATTGATTTTATGGTCAAGGTAGAGTTTTTCTTCTTACTGGGGCGTCGCGAATGGAATGAGCAGGATATGCACCTCTCCTACCTAAGTTCTGATTAATAGTAAGTTTAACGAAACAGTAGATGCATGTGTGAGCCAATACGTCCCATCTAAGCATATGCGTTCAACTCTTAACTCTTCCGTGGGTTGAATGTCTATATCGGATGGAAGATTGATATACTTAATCCCCCGTCACTCTGCGCGGCTTGCGTTTCTCTATCGAGACCATGCTTTTTAGGAGGGGAAACATCTCTACTAGGTTGACTACCAATATAATTTGCTTTGTAGGAAGATATATTCCATGTCTCCGAACTAATTCGTGAGCTTCTAATGACACTGCACAAATCACTTTGAAAACCAATCTATCTTCTCGGTAGCGTCATTAACCGACTTGCCCCATCCTCTTCCTCCCTTAACGAACTTCTCCCTTTGTGTAGATTTGTCATGACCTCTTCCACCACCTCTTCCACCACCTCTTCCAGCGAACCCACCACCGCGACTAAATCTCGGTTCCGCAGATGTAACCTTAGGACCCTCCTCCTTGCGTCTCGCCCTCTCCTCGGGAGTCGCATCCCAGAGATTCGGCACGCCAAGGAGCTCGCAGAACGTTGTCGTTTGCGGATTCGTATGCTCATCCGGCTGCTCATCCACGAAGTCGGGATCGACGCCCCGACGGTGAGGCGTTGCGGTGAGGGCGAAGTTGTGGGGCACAGCTAGCTTGCCCTTGTCGACGATGTTCAGATCCACCCAAGCGCGCTCCCGATCGATCATCGGCCGATAAACCTCTTCGCCTAGGTCCGGGGGTGCCTGGCTCATGTGCTGCCCGCCAATGGTTAGATACGGCGCGAAGGCACGCGTAATCGCAAGCCATTCTGGATCGTACTCTAATACGTAGCGCTGCTTTGAGTTATTTGATGATTTTGACTTATCCGTGGGCGATTCGCTAATTGGATGTATATCGCACAGCTGGAGATATTTGCGTCCCGGGAGACACTTGTCTAAGGCGAGGAAACGCACGGTTTTGTTCTTGATGGTCGGCGGGACTGGTTGGCCTGGATTGACTCCGGGTGGCCTTTGTACTGGCTTATCGAAGGATGCCGGCAATTGTTCGCGGAGCTCTTTGGGTACAGCATCTACTGGGGTTGCAACTTCGGGTTCTGAAGGGACTGTGGCATCAGCTGGTTCGGCTGGCGAGGGTTCCGCTTCATCGTCCATATCCAAATCAATCTCGTCTGGGTTGGCGACAGCCTCCTGCTGAAGTGCTATAGCTGCAGCCTTCTGCTGCTCCTGTGCCTTTTCCATCTGAGCTAGCTCAGCTTTAGTTGGATCTTGGTATTTTTTGACAGCGGGATATTTGCAATGCATATGGGCTGAAAACCAATACCCTGGTCTTAGTCGATCCATGACATATCCAGCTCCTGGGTTTCCCAACGAGCCATCGAGACTTTCCCTCTTGAAATGAGGCTTCCACTCGAACAGAGAGGCGGTGTTACCATGGTTCTCTATAGCCCTTGGCCAGTCATGGCTTAATACGACGTCAACTTGCTCACGCATTTGCAAGAGTTTGCGCACGTCGAATTCACGTGTATGGTAGAAGCTGGACATATGACTCCGGCTAAAAGGGAGTCGTTCATAGTGAGCTTTGTCGTAGTGAGGTTCGTTGTAGATACCGCCCATACCAGCAATTCGTAGAGGACCAAGACGCAGGACGTTAGCGGCGCCCATGTAGTAAATGTTGGGTGCAACCCAGCCTCCGTAGTACAGCTCCCATAAATGCGCACTGGCCTCGTGGTTCCCGCCTACGAATACGGTTAAGTACGGCGCCTTTTTCTTGCCGCTGTAATACTCTGGGAAATCCCCCAATTCACGGTACTTGGCTGGCACCGACATAACTGAGAGATCTTTGGCATTGCGAACAGCCTAGGAGGATTGTCAGTATTCCATTTATTAAGGTATAGACGATTCTTGGCGTGAAAAAATATCATTACTTGGAAATCACCTCCGATAATGAAGATGTCTAAATTGTCCCATCCTCGGGCTTCGCAGGATGCCTGCGCAGATGCATAGAGGGCATCTAGCGTTCCGTGACCCTACGCGACAAAGACGTTAGTATCACAAATAATTTCATTTATGAAAAAGGTAATAGGTTAATAAAGACTTACACAGCCGGCAATGGCAACACGAACACCTTGATCCATATCACGTCCTTTGATTTTTGGCTGTGTCTTCTGATTATTAGGTGTTGTTGAGAACAGCCTGCGACGAAATGGGCTTGTTCTAATGGTGGTAGACTTGGGTATTGTTGTACCGATTGCCGCTAAAAAGTCAATTGTTGCAGGGCGCTGCAAAGTGCGCCGCAAAGTGCACCTGCTCACTAAAACTAACATGAGGAGACTTTTGTTCTGTATGCGGATTCCAGCCAATTATGAATTTTTCTCAGTCATCCAAACCCATATTCGACTCAAAGATCAGTACCGTGCTCATTCATCATTGGTTTTGAGGTTATGTTATAATAGTGTATTAGCTTAAAAGTCATGATCAATTTGATTTGAAAATTCAATCTTCAAGATAACTGACGTAAGCAATTTTCTTAAATATTTAAATTGTATACAAGGATATCAGGATATTTAACTATGAACGATAGTAACATGACGAATTCGCTTATGTAACAGCATGTGAGCTCCACGGTCCATAGTTTGAGATCATAGGATTAGGTAAGGACGGACGATTGGGTAAGGAGCCTCGGCCAGCTCTCCTTGGGCGCTCCTGACGCAGGTTTTCTCATAGGTCACAGCGCATGGAAGGCGCCTCTTCCTCATAGATTTCATGTCGTGACGCAGCTAAAATGTCTACCTAGTTCAATTCATATTCAAATGTTATCTCAATGTTTCGGGAAACAGACATCAACTGAACTTTACCTTAATACCTTATTGTCTAGACTACTAGCTATTCATACTACATACCTAGACTCTAGTATTCATCCAACTTCAGCATAGCATCCAAATGTTTGAATTTGATATTAAATTTACACATCATTTTTCTACACATTTATCTAGTTCCAACTCTTAACTTATTACACAATACCTAATCAAATCCTAAGGGGAGAGTGGGCAATCATGGCTTCTCAATTAGCCCCATTAATCCCAACTCCACCGGTAACTATCAAAGGGAGATTCTTCTGGCAAGGTGATCGGCGCGTAAGTTGTCACTGAATTCAGCCATATCCAAGATCTCTACTCTGCTAAGTAACTATTGTTGACAATTTCCAGTTCATAATTAACGGAGTAGTATTCCAACCGCATCCGCCTGGCAACAAGAAAGCTCCATTAATAGACCCGCTAGCCGAGGATCAACTTTACGACCTCGAACGCAGCATTCCGTCACTCAAGGTCCTCGGAATCAATACGATATTCGTCCGTCAGTAACCTCATTCCATATCATTACCCTCTTACTCTCGAATAGTAGGCTTATAGTATAAATTCTAGTTTATATTAATTGTAACAATAATCATGATGTCGCCATGGATATGCTAGCCGAAGCAGGCATCTATGTACTTCCGGTATGTTAATTATCCTTGATTCCTTCAAGAGGCGAGTTTGTCACATATAAAAACATCATTTCCCTTGATACATAGAATCTCACTCACGGCCTCGACCTAGTGTATCGCGCCACCTTACGATGAATCTGCAGATCTTTCGGAGCTTAACCCATACAGGCTTGAGGTTCTACAATGGTATTTCAAAGCTGTCGACAATATGACGAAGTACCCGAACACATTAGGGTTGGTTTTATCTTGTGAATTCATCAATGATGTGTACAGGACCGTACTTGCGCCAATGCTCCGTGCCGTTGTACGCGACGTCAAGAAGTATATTCGTCTCATAGCCCGGAAGAAAAATGTGAGGGCTCTCCCCGTTGGCATATTCGCCCCGGACGAACCATCATTGCTCAAACCACATTATGAATATTTTGTTTCGGGGCCCGAAAAGGAGGCAATTGATTTCTTAGGGGTATGTGCCCCCTCTTTCATAATCGAACCCCTTTCCCTCGTAGGTACTAGGTAGGCAAGTTTAAATATAAAGAGCTAACATTCTCGCTACGCCGCATAGTTCAATGAATTTTCGCGACCTAGAGAATCGCCATTACACGAATCCAGCTACGACGATATAATCGAGATTTTTGCCTCGAGTCCCGTTCCAGTCTTCTTCTCTATGTACGGGAACAACACCGTATCTCCGCGCCTCTTCCACGAGACGAACTGTTTGTACTGTGACTTTAACATGTTATCGATATTCTCCGGTGGGTTCGTTTACGAATTCTTCCAAAAACCAGGTACCCAATTTGGTCTAATCGCGCGAACGGAAAACCCAAGAGGCTACATTGGTTACACCGAACTCATAGATTTCCGAAATTTGAGAGATGTGTTGACTGGCTCCTTCATGCGACTACCGCCCTTGACAGCTGACTTCCCACCGAGCGCCATCATGGGGATTAAGCCACAGCCACCAGAACCAAGTGAGAATTGGTTGGCTTCACAGAATATACCTCACACTCGCGTGCAATGGTTCAATGTCGAGGAAGCGATCGACGACAGTGAATGGATCGACCTGGGTCAGGACGTGCTGGAAGATGCTGTCGATGATCTCGAGTTCGCCTTTAAGGAAAGGTTTAATATCAGCGACGGATCTTAAATCGCTATCACGGCTCACCAAACTAAATTTTAAGATCGGTTGAAGTTGGAGTATGGTGTTAACACAGCGATGTTTCGATGTCAAGTAGTTATTTTCATAATAGCGTTTGAAAGTAATACATATTTGAAGCTTCGATATCCCTAGGAGTTGTATTTTTGAGTCGTCGTGACAATTGCCCATTCTACCTATGACAATACAACTCCTCCAATAATACCAATAAAATCAGTCTTGTTAACCTTGGAAGTTAGGATTTGCGCATAAAGAAAGTGCTTGTGATATAGCGCGAAATAAATAATAGTCACAGGTGTCAGGAATCATGATAAAGGAGCACCCTATAGCCCGAGAATATTAGACGAGCATTTACCAAGAACTTTAACTTTTACTTCTGTTATCCATATCTATGCTATCCTTCGGGGATTTCAATCAGGTATCTTGATGCACCAACTACTAGGGTAATTCTAAACAGCCATCCGCTCCACCAACCCATCACGCGCCATTGGTCTCTGCAGTTCCATTCGTATTATCTGCCTCATAGCCCTCGACTTTCATGTCAGTCAGGCCCAACTCTTCCTCCTCTTGCTCTGTTCGCTTGTAGTCCTCCGTCGTGATCTGGGGGTCCTCCTGATCGGGGTCAACAGCTTTCTGGACGTAACTGCTTGCGAGAGGGTCGGTAAGGATGACGGTAAACTTCTTGTCGCCCTTGATTGCAGCGTCTATGCCTTCGAAGAACGAATTCCATTGTGATCGCTCGTCACTAGCCAGAGAGTCGCCTGCTTCTGCACCAGTCTCGAATATCTGGTTATGAAGATCGTTCCGTACTTGCGTTAGGAGACCTTCTACGGTAGTGAATCGCCCCCCTAGTGTTCCAGGATTTACTTGGAGATTGAGTTCAGGGCACTCCAGCGAGCAGCTCTCGCTCTTCAGGATGTCTCGGGCAAGGTCCTCCGCAGTCTCGACTCTTAGTGTGATCTTCTTACCTAGATCTGGTATTGCACCTCCGGTCTTAACGTCGTTGGATCGATATCCGCAGTCGGTACAGACGGTTGACATCAACACAACCGCCTTGAAGTGTGGGATATCAACCATCTTCATATTAGTCGTGCATGGGTGCATGCATCCGGGACATGTGGCCGGAAACTCGTATACCTGGTCTGGGACAATATCTTCATCTTCTAAAGAAGCCTCGACAGCTGGGTTCGTGGCGGCGAGACCTAGGGCCTCATTCTGTTCGGCAGAACGCTCGTATTCGTGTTTCTCCCACTTCCCAACGCCATCACGCATGTTAGGCGTGATCCAAGAGTTTCCAGCGGGATCGTCGACGGATAATCTGAAGGGGAAAGCCTCCCCAGAAAGCATCGCGCGCCCCTTCTGAATAATCTCATTGATTTTAGTATAAACATCCGGCGCTTGTTCTTTGCGCGCCTCCTGTCCAAGTTCTAGATCATCCACAATCGTACTCAATAGACCTTCAACGTTTGTAAGCTGCCCACGGCCTGCGGGGACCTCGAGGTCGAGTTCGATGAATTTGACGATCGCGGTATCGGATTTGACTACTTGTCTCTCAAAGTCGATCATTTCGGTCAGGCGCAGCAGGTAACTTGAGCCCTTAGGCTGGATAGTACCCGCAGCTTGTATCTCGGAGTTGGAGAAGCCACATTTGTCGCAGGAGAAGGACATAAGGATAACTTCGCGGAAGTAGGGGATCTTGGTTAGAAGCATGCGCGTCGTGCCCTAGATACTATTAGTATGGGGTTTCATAAATGCAGGCATGATTTAAAATTGATACGTACATTTTCGTGACAGTTCATGCATAATGACTCGATTTCCTCGACAACCTTCTCATCGTCGTTGTCTGCGTGCGCAACACCGTTGGTTCCATTGGCTCCATTAGTCGCAGGCGCGAGATGCTCAGCTTTATGGCCTATAGACTCGAAGAAGTCGGTTGACGTCTGTTTAACTGAATCGCCCGTTTCCTCGGCTCCCGGCATGTCGAATAATTGTGTTTGATTCAAGTAATTCCGATATGTAAATGCGTGTAATTTCGTCGAAAGACCGTTTAATTTCTTGAGTCAAGGGTAGATTGATTGTAATATTAATAGAAAGCTTCTTTCCAGTTTGACTCAAAATTTTTGGAGGGGCAATTGTCGCGGTAGCGCGGGGTCATGACATATCAGGCTTATCAGTGGCAGGAAGCACCACAATCTCCCGGGAGCTAGTGATCGCTAGCGCCTGTTAGAAAGGTCGAGAACTCTCCAATTTCGTCGCGACTTCCGTAAGCAATGTACCTAAAGACCCAGGTACGTATCATTTTCAATATCTCCATGTTGGTAGAGAAAGCATTGAACTTCACTTCAACATGAAATCACTCAGGCTCAGACCAAGTCCATTTTGCGGCTTAGATGCAGAGGCTTGAGCCTGCTGAAGTAAAGCTTGAAGACCTTGCTTCCTGCTCTTCGCTCTTTTCTTACTGCTAGCATTTGCTGAAGCTTTTACCGGTTCGGAAACAGGGGCGGGCTTGTTCAAATGAGAAGCATGAAGAGGTAGAGATTTGGTTAGTTTTGAGTGGCGACGCCTAGATATAGGTGCTGCTGGAGGAATGGAGATATTGGTGTATTGACCACACATCCCACAGGTAAACCGCTTTCGACATCCAGGAGCTGGCGCTTTCTTCTCGTCGAGGTTCTTAGGAGTATTTATCCCTTTTGATCTTTTCTTTCTTTTGATAGCTTTGTCAGCTTCTAACTTTAGTTCGCTTCCTTGGCCCGAAATCATGATATGCCCACAAGCGCCGCATACGTGCTGTCTTTGCATATCTGATCGCTCTATGTCACTATGAAACATCAGCGAGTCTCGTTGCGCCATTAGGTATGCCGAAGTCTCGGGTGCTGTTTTTATGAGTAGATGAGCAGCATCGGTGAGAAAGCTGAGGTTTTCGGGGAGATTATCGAACGCCATTATGAGATATGGAGTAGTATTGTAGATTTAAGTGATAGTTGTTGTATTTTGTCTTCATTTTCTATCGGCCAAAGGGGTTGGAAATTTAGATGATCCACTGAAAATTTAGGGCGATAAAATCCCTTGCTACGAAGTAGAGAAATGCTAATTTCCAATATCCTTATATATGCATAGATATGTATATAAACAACAATGGTCCCGCTTATATAATACTACCAAGCATCGATTCTGATGTATAGAATCATGGATGGTATTGTATCATTACGGATGCTGAACGGAATATATTTTCCTAGGAGAATGTGTAAAGCTATGTAGGTAGGTAGGAAGACATCCCTCCATATTTTCAAGTCAATACTGTATATCACAACTCAATATTATAGACAAAGTCAACATCGTTTATATACCCAAAATGACAGACTGTCCCTCAAACACATTACACTTTAACCATCCAGTTTATACTCGCTGATGGGCCGCAAAGGCAAATTTGCGGTTGTATATGCCATATCGATCATCTTCATAGTATTGATCGAATCATCACCACTCACCCACTGTTGAACATCGCGTCCGCGGACTTTGTTGACGAACTGTTCGAGTTGGTATCGGTAAGTTGGCCAGTAAGACTCGCCCGGCTGGTCAATTCCTGCTTCACTAAAGGAGTAAGCCTTCACGGTCTTACTACTCGTCCATTTCTTGACATGGCCAGATGTGTCCCCGATTTTCCGTATGATGAATTCATCGTCGATCTGAATGGAATGTAAATATGTCGGCTGAGCAAATGTTGAGAACTTGATCTTGCGCGTGCGAACTACCTCCTGTCCCCCAGGCACCTTAACACCCGCGTCTGCGCTAGACACTACGACAGGATTATGCACTACGTGCACGTCAGGCGACAGGCGATCGAGCGGAGCTTTCAAATCGCCTTCCATCTCACCACGTCCGCCACCGGGAAATCGATATCGCACCTTAAACAGACGGTCACATTTCGAATCGGTAGGTCCCGGCTGCGTGATAGACTCCTCACACTCCTCTGCCACTCCGCCAAACACGTGAGTTAGAACACTAGCCGTGTAAGCGCCGAGGTCCATAAGCGCACCTCCTCCGAGATCGTATCGATACCGGATGTCATCAGCACCAAATTTCCACATCGGGACCCATATCACGGCCTTGGCGCTAGCAACTTCAGCCGGCGTAACGTAGGACATGAAGGCCGACCAGGCCGGATGGAATAGGTAGTGTGCTGCCTCCAAGAGAATTGGGGCCTTGGGGCCGTCTAGAAGAGGATTTCTGAAGAGGGCCTCGGCTTCTGTTGTGTTATTCACTGAAGGCTTTTCAAGGAGGACATGCTTTCCGGCCTTGAGGGCGCGAAGGGCCCACTCGTAATGCAGCCCATTTGGTAAAGGAATATAGACTGCGTCTATATTTGAATCATCGAGTATGTCTATGAGTCGTAACAGGCATTCCGAATTAGTATCTAACTTCTAGTGGTCGATGAATCCTGAGAAGTGTATACCTTGATATGACGTTGCCGCTTCTGGTATGCCATGCTTCTGTGCATAGGTTTTCGCCTTTTTGGGATCTCTAGCAGCTACAGTCTGAATTACTACATCTGGATGAGATTTTGCTGGGAGAATAAGAGCTTGCGGACTACGTCGAGGTTAAAAGAATTTCAGTCAGCTGGCTCCCTGTTGTTCTGCGAAGGATCGGGCTAATTTTAACATACGCGATGTCAGCTGCGCCAAGAATCCCAAAGCGAAGCGGCGTAGCAGATTTCGAAGCTTGAGGTGGATTAAGAATTAACCAATTTCGCCGGGCGAGGCCGAAGAGAGAAGCCATCGTAAATGCTTATTGCTCCTATCTTGTTGGTAAAAACGACGTCGGGAGCTAGTAGCAGCCCTACTTAATATGGTCAATATGCCGTAAACCCTTGTCGCTCGCATTCGACTATGAAAATGCTACACTACATCGGAGTAGCAATTTGATGCGAGGTCTAAATGATGGATTGGACCGGAATCGAAAATGAGCTGGCAGTTAAAGTTTAAAGCTTATTTCCCGTATCCCGTCGTGTCCCGTCTTTACCCGTTAAAGAAGGTGCCTGTCGTATTAAACATTTTCGGTGACATGTCACTTTGTACCATTTACCATGTTTACAAACAACACCATTTGTAGACATGCGCAGCAACGAATCCACAAATAGGGCTTCACAATATCAAAACAACCTTAGAAAGCTCTAAAATGACTAGAAGACTCAAAATAGAGTTCTTACTGCTATTCGGTCAACTTGGCTTAAGATCTCTACAATGCACGTAAGAAATCCAACGATCTCGATCTACAAGCCACATACATCATGATAGACAGAAACATTCAGCTCAAAAGCGATCATAGCACCGGGGAGACGGACAACCGAGTCGATTATAAAAGTCGGCTTGCGCGCGTTATATATTTACAAATGCTAAAAGGTATCCAAGCATCTAATCATGAGCATGCAGTATCCTGTCCATAAAAACGCTATCTTAAACTCAAACCCCCCCAAATGCAGACATTAACTGCCCCCCGTTTCGAAAGTTAATCATATTTATAGGATGGCGCCAAGGACACCGGTGACGGGGGCAAGGAGGCCACCAACGACACCGTTGAGGTCACCGACAAGGCCGTTGACTTCAGTGGCGACGTCACCGACAACACCGCTGACAGCGCTGAGAGCGAAGTTGACGACGGGCTTGGCAATGGGCTCGACGGTGGAGAGGACGAGTTGGAGCTCAGGCTTGACGGCCTTAAGGGCATCTATCGATCTTCGTTAGCATCACTGCTTATCTATCACAAAAGGAATTGTATACATACCGGAAGCAATGCCGTTGACCAGCTTCTGGGCAGTGGACTGAACACCGTTGGCGATGGAGAGAACACCGTTCAGGAGGACGGGGACGTTGGTGAGCTCATCCTGAGCCAGCTTGGGGATGGTGCTCGAAACGAGGGGGGTGACATCACCAACGATCTTCTGGACCTCGCCAGCGATGTTGAGGAGAGAGCTCTCGAGTTGGGGGATGAGAGAGGTAGAGTTGACGTTGACACCGATCAAAGCCTCAATGTTAGCCAACTCGGTCTGGACGGAAGTCTGGACGGTGCCGACGGTGCCGAGGGCGACGTTCAGGATGTCGAGGGCACGAGTCTGCTTGGCGGCCGGGGCGGCGAAGGCAGAGCCAGCGGCGAAAGCGGCAAGGGCGAAGTTGGTGAACTGCATTTTGACGGTTTTGGGGGTGTTTAAGTGGAATTACTTTAAGTAAGCGAGGAAGCTGATAGCTCAAGATATCAAGGAGTGACTGAGTTGGAAATGGTAGAGAGCGACTGAGTGAGAGACACTGTAAGCTGATCGTTATTGTGATGAAGAGACGAGGGGAAAATCAGGATATGCTGACAGACAGACGCAGATATATACTACTTAGAGAGGCCGCATCGACTGCAGTGTCTCAATCTCTCACGAACGGACCCCTGACCTATGCATTCAATCTCAACCATGCTGATTCTACTATCACCCACTTTGGCGAGTCTCCTACTACGCTGTATCAACCCCTTCGGATGTCGTCACCGGTCAGGGTCTTAGAATAGCGATGGGCATTTTCTCTCCTGTCATCTAATTGGCGAGTGGCATCTAAGCACAAAACCTTGGCGCACCAAGATGGCACACGCCAGAATGGATACCAGCAGGATGGATTCAGGTAGGATTTGCGGTAATTGCTTGACAGAGCTTGAATTCGAAGTTCCTTCCATATCAAGCGATAGCAGAAATATCACCGTGCGTTGCAATCCACCAGCGTGGGTGTCAGGCAGCTAGACTAGGGCACCCAGCGAAGGAGTTTTAGCCCCCGCATGGCAGTTCATGGTAGAGCCGTCGATCACAATGTTACCTACTTAACCCCATGTCCCAATACCTATTTCGGCTTCTTCGTGCCAAAATAGTGCATCCTCTCTGTGTTAAGTGCATCTTTGGCGTCCGAATCGTCCGTTGCCGCTAGGAGATGGATTGATTTAAGCTTATTCGTTCGCGCTGGCGCTTCACATCCTTTCAGACTTATATCAGACTTACTGAAGCTATCGTATAGCTAGCTGTCATCCGTTCCTCACCATCAGCACGAATACAGAATAGCCGAAGGCATCAACTATTTTCATCTATTTTAGCCTTTGAGTTCTCCGCAGATCAACGGACACAAGAAACCTATCCAAGAGCCAGGATGCTTATGATTATCAAACGTTATTCCTAGTTATTCTAGCTGATCATAACTAGTGCGAGGGCTTTTTAAATTGGGGAAATAAAATACAGAACTCACAGCCCTGCAGATGCCCTGTCAGCCTGTAAGGTTGGGAGGTTTGTATTGGTCCGCACGTGGCAGATTGAAGCTCCGTGGAGCGACGCCAGCAGGTTTGACAGGTTTGTCGCCGGCGATCTCGTTTGAACTACAACCTGCGGCAGCATCGCGCGGCATACTACGTACTCACCGACTTCAACCGACCTCTTCATTGGATTTCTTGAGGGTCTCAAATTATCCATTTCACGACTCCCCCTGCCACCATCGAGTAGATTGATTTAGATAATAAACTATTCTGTACCTAATCAGCTAATCTAGACGACGAAGAGATGAAAGAGTTGCGCGTTCTAATACATAACCCCCAGCCCGACCTGATCATATGGGGACATCCTATCACAGGGTAGCATTATTGAATATTCATCGACGGTTTGCATCGCGACATCGCAACGTACTATTAGATGCAGAGATCCCTATTTCTTCGCGCGGGATGGAGAGCAATGACGTCGTTTTTAGAGATTTTTGTGTGTTTTGGCACTAAAATGACACAAACCCCTAATATATGCCCGATGTCACAACGTCGAGACAAAATGAGGTAAAGAAAGCTTTTCATTAAGATTAAATGTTACCAATATACCCGCCCCAGACAGACAAGGATACGACACAACCCCCTCCCGTACCTGCATTGAATAATATCCCTATCAACATTATTCATATTTCTACGCAGTAGTGTGCTGACACGTTCTCATTAGACAACTACGCAGCCTACGTAAGTCTGTACGACGCCATATGAGCTTGATATTGTCTAATTTGACAATGTCATCTTCTAGGAATTACCTAACTATGCGGTGAAGCTATCACGACTATCTACTAAGCACTTAGAAGATATCGCCGTGTTTTGTCGGACGGTCTTTTTTTAGACGTTGAAACCTTCTCTTCTAGTCAAGCTGAGAATCCTCCAAAGCGGCCTCATGTTAATTAACAGGTATGCATACGAGAACCACATGACCGAAGGATAATACGATAAAAACGTTTGGATTTGAGACTTCAAGTTTTACTGGTGGCTATGACTCCTAAAAAACCACCTCGGTATCAAAGCCATCAGTCGATATGTTGAGAGCGCACGGTCGTCCTGAGACAAAGCTAGTGAAAATGATAGTGTCATATAAACGAACGCCCGTGTGGGCTCGCTGGCGAACCGGGCAGCCGGGTAGGCGGAACATTCTCGGCCGAGTCGTTCCAATAGTTCCAGCACCAGCTCCAGTTCCCGTTCCATAACACTACTAAGTTAGTGACATTCCAAAATTTGAAAGAATGAAAAACCTCGGGTTAGAATAGACACGGCCTATCTACTCCGCTTCGATTTCGAATGCGTAATTCTATGGGCAATTGTTGGGAGTTCTCCCGCGGGGAGTCCGGAGTTTAATTATTACTGAAATCTTTGAAACACCCCTATTACCTATTCATTAGCCCCCTTTTACGCGACCACCATTTCTTCACTCTTTGGAAATATGTTTGGCTTCATCTCTACAACCAATGTCAACCATGGTCATTCCCTACGCAGCGCAATACTTACGATTCTTCAAAAAGTCCAAACTGGACCGCGGGTAACGGATGAACGATTTAAGAGGAGCGTGTCGGGTTGTTTTTAGCAAACTATGGGTTCTATTGACTCCCATTTCGATGATTTACATCTAGGTAACCTTCGATAGGACATCCTCGGTATACAACCACAACTCGCGAGCCAGCTCCTCGCTCTTTGCGGTTTTATCCAACTTATCATTGCTCAGCACTCCGACCGGCATATAATACGCCCCATTGACGAGTTCATTCCTACTCGCACCAGCCGCTACCCAAAGCTGACTTAGGCGACCTTTGTTTTCGTCCATTACGCTGATTCCCATCAGCCAGTTTGTGCCATACACCAAGGCTTTCCTCATCGTTGGCAGGTTATTGACGAGATCCGTTGCCACGACGCCAGGGTGAACGGAAACGGCTTTGATGCTAGGGTATCGACGAGCGATTTCGGCTGCATAGAGTATGTTCGATAACTTGCTTTGCCTATCGAATTTCTTCGGTCAATCCTTTCCTGGGAATGATGAGTTGTTGGAAGGATGTTTCTTACCCGTAACGTAAGCTAAACCCCAACATGGTCAAGTTTCCTTGTTTAGAACGGAGCGTATCGAATGCGATGCCGTTCTTTGGATGCATTTGCCAGCCAACGGATGTAAGAGATATTAGTCGAACATCTGAATCTGGTATCTCTGCCGTCTTCAGCATGATAGGTAACAGCCGTTTGGTTATCATGGCGTGAGCGAGATGGTTAACTGCAAAGTGTATCTCAAAGCCGTCTTCACTCACAGCTAGAGGCTCGTCCATAATACCGGCATTGCACCTATTCAGTATTAATCAGATATCCCTAGAGGAGACTTGGAATAAAACATGGGCAAGGTAACTAACATGAGTATGTCGAGGCGGGCATGCAGAAACTGATCGCAAGCTTTCTTTACTGATGTTAAAGATGCCATATCCATTTTGACGAAGGTCATCCCCACTGCTGGGTTCGATTTCTTTACGTCGGCGATTAGCGACTCTCCAGACTGCGCATTACGGCCGGTGAAATAGATGTGGGCGGGTTCGTGCTTCGCAAGGGCTTCGACTGATGCTCGTCCGAGGCCAGCAGTGCCTTTAAATAATTAGCCCAAGTACCCGGAAAACCACCAAGAGTGTGGTACTCATTAAGACGTACCGCCCGTAATGAATATGACCCTATTCCGAAGAGAAGGTATGTCCCTTTCAGGATCGAAATCAACAAACCCGGACATTGCCGGCATAGCGATGATATGGTTTCAAAAATTGCTATATTATGAAATTCCAATCCTGAAAACTCGAATTTCAAGGTTTCTCTGTGGTGCGGAAGTAATTGAGGTATGGTTTGGATTAGAGGGAATGTGTCTGCAGACACGAGAAGTTTTATACATTTCCTCCATTTTAAAAATCTCTCAGCTTATTCAATCTTCACTGTATAACAGTAACAAATATTTAGAGATATCACCTGTTCGGTTGACTCACTCGACTGCTACTACATTGTAACAATGGAGTTGGCGATGTCATGAGAAGTTCTGAAATAGGGCTAGCGGCGTATGCAGGATAAGCAGATGGCAGGCGCTAGGTGCGCTATTCCCGCCCCGGCTTAGGCGGTCCCCAGGCTGTGGACCGATTTAAGCTCCCGGGGCTAAGGTTTCCTAAAAGTAACAAAAACAGGAACAACTACGTGCATATATCTTCGATTCGGATAGTTTCTAGATGCCGAAGCGCTCTTTTTACCAACGTCCTTCATTCGTCCACCGTATTCTGTTAAAAGATGGATCTGTTTGAGCCGTTGACCGTTCACCGGAAGACGCCGAATAAGCAGAGTGCATAAATTAGTCCCGAACACCACGAAACCTGGACTTTGTGCTGCGAGACTTCGACATAGTTACCCGGTAATGCTGCCAATTCTACAAAATGGCGTATCGGATTTCTGAAATGGAACAGCTTCGCGAGGTAAAGTTTCCATTTCATATATCTATTAATAATTATGCCCTCCTAAAACATGAATTTAATCATCCTTAGGCGCGAATAAAGGACGACAATTGGACTGGCCTGTCCGATGCAGCCGAGAGAAGGAAACGACAAAACCGCCTACATCAGAGAACTTGGCGTAAGTTAATGACCTAGTTAGATATTACTGAGTTTTAGTGGTGTCTGTAGGTACTTATACCACTATAGGTCGTAAAAAGACAGCGCAACGAATGCCTAAAAACCAGCACCAGCTCCATCCCAAAGAAACTAGAGGAAATGAATCTTATAGCCCAACAAACTCGTCTTCGCAGGATGGAGATAGCTCGCTAACAGAAGTCATACATCTTCTCAGAGCTCATTCCTGCCGACCACTCCACCTTTACAATCAACTCAAGCCTTTTACTTATTGGGAGAGGCTTGATGCACAATTGAAGCATCCGAACGTGGCTAATGACCTATACTCACGCCTCGCGTATAGCTCAGCAAGTGCTTCACGAGATCAAGAACCAGCCATCCCTCCCATGATTTCATATCTTGATAGCCACCATCAGCTTAGTGCAACTATTCCAGACTTTGCCTTTCCCATATCCGCAGATCACCGTCTCATTGTGTTAATTCAATACAACGTACTTCGAGCACTCATAACTAATATGACCATCTTGTCAATTCTCCACCGGATACCACTGGAGTGCGGTGGCGCCCTAAATATTGGAAATTTACCGTCTGCCCCTGATAGCATCCCCCCTTCTTTTGAATCAACACCACTCCAGAAACAGATTGCACACGATGTATGGATAGATACCTTCCCTTGGCCAAATATGCGGGACAATTTGCTCCTGAATCGTGGGAAGTACGATGAAGATGATCTGTGTATGGACATCGTGGGTGGCCTCTACGAAGGGTTTGACGAAGTGGCCACGAGGGGCATAATAGTCTGGGGCGAACCCTGGTCTGAGACTGGCTGGGAAGTCAGCGAAGGCTTCGCAACAAAGTGGTCATTTTTACTGAAAGGATGTCACACTCTAGTTGAATCAACTAACAGATGGAGAGAGGCTAGGGGAGAAGAGCGGTTAGTGGTAGATGTATGAAAACTTTGACCTTTTTTCGTATATTTACAACACACTCTGCCTATTATTACAACTCTTCTCCCCAAGGACCAACTCCAGGCCCCTTCAAAATCTTCCCTCCTTTCCATACCCAACCAATATTCGCTTTTTCTTGCAGTATTTTCACGTCCTCTACCGGATTTTCAAGTAACCCAAGTACATCAGCCTCATAGCCAACCTTCAGCTGACCGGTCTTTGGGGCCTGTCCCCCTACACTTAAGGGGCCATTAGCGGTAGCGGCCTTAATCGCCTCCAGGTTACTCAAGCCAGCTTGCACTGCATAATCTAGTTCCATCGCCATATTAAATCCCGGTGGTGTGTCAGTACCTAGTGCAATCGGCACACCGGCCTCAATCGCTAATTTATAGGCCGCCAAATGGTTTTTACCACATAGCTGGGCCTTCTCCCACTGCTGTCGCGACAGGCCCTTTCCGCCCGACTGTAAGAGCATATCGACGATAGTCCGCGTAGCAATCCACACCGTCCCCTTTTCTTTAATCAAATCAACACACTCTTGATCCGCAAACGAAACATGTTCCACAGTCGTAACGCCCGCCTCAACCGCCGCCAAAATCCCCGGTTTCCCATGAACATGCGCAGCCACAGCCCTATTCTGCCTCGTCGCCTCCTCAACAATGCACTTCAACTCCTCGGGGCTGAACTGCGCATACAACGGGTTATCATCCCTTGACATAACCCCCCCACTCGCCAGTACCTTAATACACCGCGCGCCCCTCCGAATCTGCAACCGCACCGCACGTCTGCACTCGTCAACCCCATCCACAATAACACTCATCCCCGTCCCAAACTGGCCGGCTGATATACTCGCCACACCGAGATTCAGCAACACGTCCCCGGCAGGCAGGCTAAACACATCCCCATGTCCCGCCGTCTGGCTTAGACACGCGCCAGCACTGTACACATTCGGCCCAACAATCGTCCCATCATCAATCGCGCGCGCAACCTCGCACCCGAACCCCGCGACGTCCCGCAGAGACGTGTATCCCCGCTGGATCGCCTCCCAGCACCCGCGCGTCAGCCGCGCCCCCGCGGCCGCCGGGTGCTCCGCGATGAACCCCGCGTAGCTGTCGCTGCTGTCCTCCGACTCGCTTTCGCCTCCGAAGTGCACGTGGCAGTCCCAGAGCCCCGGCATTAGGTACGGCACTGAGTACCGTTTTACGTGCGGCGCGGAGGTGTATTCCGCTGGGATGCCGGATTGCGCGCCGGTCCAGATGATTAGTTTGGCGGAGATTACGAGCGCGGCGGAGGGGATGGGGGGCGAGGAGCCGGGGATTAGGAGGTCTGTTGTTATGATTGTGTAGCTGGGTTGGAGTTGGGAGTTAGTGAGTGCGTCGTCGCGAGGCGGCCTTATCGCGATGCCGAAGCCTGTGGAGAAGATCCGGCTTGGGAGGGCTTCGGGACGAGGCTGCTGGGTTGTGCGTTTGGTCATTTTGGGGTCTGGGTTTAAAGTTGTTTGGGCCTGTCAATTGATGCTTAGAGTGGGTTTAAATGATATAGATTGGAGGGCATTTCGAGGAGTAATGTCTGGATTCGTGGATTGGTGAGGCGGAGTAATGCGACGGTTCAGTGCGATAACGCCTGATATGGAAGGTCAGGGGTAAACACATCCATGATGACACTGGGGTACGAGATACGGCAATTACTACCTTGGTAGGTACCTATGAATTATCACCATGTAATGGTATGCCATAAGCTGAATTAAGACCTCTTTAACATAGATTTTATTCCTCATTATGCCTCGAAAGGTTCATATATACGGCAGTAAACTTATTTTAAAATATCTACATAGGTATCTTAGTCTATTTGCGAAGATTTCATGTTCACTATGACGCGAGATCTTCATCTGAACGCCTTTATACTTCAACATCGTCTCAAACAATAGCCAGATAGCCGATTTAAACAATCACCAATTTTCGATTCTTTATTGTGTCGATACAAGAGATCGCCAAATAACAAAGATAATGGGCAGATATAACAATACCTTTGACTAATACACATAAGGCACACAAGGGCATTGTCTCTATTGTATATGCATATAACTCCCCCCTGGGTAAAAAGATCACATTTATGTCTTAGACTAAACGTAAGAGAAAGCTCTTGCTGGAGTAGACCACCAGCATGGACTTCGAGGATATGGATCAATGCGGCCGCGGCTGTGCCAGGGTAAGCCAGACGGAACTCCTATACTTGCAGCTGAAATATCGAAGAGATGAGCAAGAGCCGGTCAAGGACTGCCATCAATGCGATACGCAATTTCGGCTTCAGTGTACCCATCTCTCATCAGCTCAGTGTGCTGAATTGAAACCTGCAAGATACGAAGCTAAAGCCGAGGAAACCCGCGATTCCATCTATGTTTATGAGTGTAGACATCTCTACAATAATGAAGGCCGTGTAAGAATCAGGGCCCCTGGGACAAGGAAGTATCGGAAAGGGATGTGTACTGAATGCTGGAGTAAGTTGATATGGGATGGAAGGGCAGTCCGGAAAGGTAAGTTGAAAGGTGCTAGAAGACCTCCCAAGAAGAGAAGTGGGAATGCCGGTAAGCCAGATGGAAGTAAGTCGATTAGAAAGCCGAACAAGCCCATTCAGAGGAAGGAACTGGTGAGATGGGTTCGTAGAGGCCCGATGAGAGGTAACATTCAGCAAAACGAAGAGACGGTTGTGTTATTCTAAGATCGAACGGTAGGTAGATAGTGAGCTTCGTTGATAAATACTAATATTTTCTTGTGAATGTTCTCAGGAAATCATATTATTCATTTTCATTGAGAAACTTTTTCTTACCCCTTTACTAATGATATCTTAGCACTGTGAAATGGCTATATATGTTAACTGTGAAAATATTCATTACCTCTTTGCCCTTTATATGTTGGTGGTATGAGAAATTGAAATTGACATTAAACCTATTGGCTACGGGGGATATTGTTTTTTGCCTGTTTCACTCAACGCAAGTTAACTTACATAATTACCTACTAGGATCAAAATACCTAATTCCTTGATATAAGGACCGAAATGTTAAGATGAATGTCTAAGATTAATATAATCAGGTTAACAATATAAGTAACATTTATCTTTTTAATTCGATATCATCGCTTAAATGTCAACTATCGTGGATTTCTCTTTTTCGAGACTAGTGTTACTTTCGTTCTTTTTCAGAACTCACTTTCTGCCCATATCGTCGCCGTCGTCGTTGTTGTCGCCGTTCTTTACCAGCGTTTTTCTCGTTAACTCTTATTGCTTCTGCCGTTTTTGTCATTATTGTCTCCGTTAACCTTACGACGCCGATTTCTCTATTCTCGTTAACTTCTCTTTTCCACGTTCGCCGTCTTCATTGCCAGACGCAGGTTGCACTTCCCCTACTTTATACGCGTTTTTATAACTAACCCTAAATGGCGTGGATCATACTAGTATTTACAACGAGGCAAGGCTTACTGAAATGAAAAGAAAAAATATATTACCTTAACTAGTACATGTCGTCAACTCCTTAATAGCTGATAGTGCTTCAAAGAGTAGTGTACAATAGCTTCTTAGATACCTCTAAAACTGTTCAATTATTACATACTACCTATGTATTATGTAACATATATTATGAATTATCGATCATCGAGGAGCAGTACAGATTTTAATGAAGCTGCCGGATAGATTAAGGGGTTATACACCTAAGTTGCCTATCTAGTCTATCGAAAGTCCTAAATAACCTAACTGGATATACTCTATAATAAATTATCTGCTAATAATAATAATAATTTGCTTGTTTAAGCCTCTAATAATTAGATCTCGCAGATACACGGTTTGTTTCGGTGAACCGAATATCTAACCTAAGTACTAAGTAGTCGAGACTTATCATAAGAGAATAACTAGTACATTGCATTTACCGACCTGCGTACTTAGATACTTGATCGGGCGTGTTACTGGTCGTTTTATTCCACAAGATCGTGGACTTTGCCGCCTTATATAATAATAGCTATTGGGAAAATCACCAGGGAAGATGAGCTAGATACCTACTTACTTTCCACTCACCATACTTACGTCTTCTTACCTATCAATTCTTGTTTTTCTCATCTCCTACCCTAATTTCTACCTTTATGCCAACCCATTGTGATCTTGAATCCTCTCCTTCTCAACTGCAACCATTAAGGTCTACCAAAAAAACAATTCCCTGACTTACTGGTCAAATCCCCATTCCCAATGTTGTTCAGTACCACTCTTTGATATTGAACATCCCCATTTTACTACCCGATTATCAAATCGACCGATCACTAAGCTAGCCATCGACACCTTCTTTCTCAAAGCTCAAGGATTCCAGGTAGTACGGTTGCTACCTTCTTATTGACTCGCCTACCAGTCAACTAGGTAGACACCTGCTACCTATAAATTTCAATTACTAACCGACTCTTACCTCCTATCATTCTCATTAACATCCTATCAAATCCACTCAACAAATCTCTTGATCGAAGCCGATCAAAAAACGACTGGCAAGATGTCTACTCAGGAAGAAGTGAAGAGTATCGTCGAGTTTCCTGCCGCCGATGATCCCCTTGCCCACCAGGCATCGAAGAACGATGAACTTTATTTCTTCATGCTTCCTCTCGAAGTAAGTATATTACACATGAGTTATTACAGTTTATTCAATTAACTAATTCCTTTTTAGATTCGGCTCATGATTTATGAATACGTCGTTGCCGTCGCGAAGCCAATCCTACCGGAGCAAGTGACCAAGCGAGCCAACAAATTCTTTCCGAGTCAATCTATCCTTTTTCCTGCCATTGCCTATAGGAATAGCAATGATCCGTTAGACGTCATTTCCCTAGCACGTGTTTGCCGAAGAATTTACCACGAACTGGAAAAATTCCCCGTCTTCTACCGCGTCAACACGTTCTGTTTCGAGTGTTTCGAAGATCTTCATGTGTTCCTATCGGCCATTACCCCTAAGCGAAGGGAGATGATTCGATACATTACATTGTTCATCTATTCCCAGTCTCAGAGTAAACTCAACATCTTTCGACCCAACTTTCCGGAATGGGCTTTCATTCCCCATCATAGACCATCTGGCCACACCAAGACGTTCCTCATGTCTCTGCTCACCCAATGCAAAGACCTCAAAGAACTTCGTCTTATACTGAATCACCGGGTTTCAGCCGCGCATATGATGGCCCTTTCAAGAGTACCTATTGATAGACCCTCGGCGTGGAATCTTCCCTACATTCGGGTGCGCACAGGCATCTTACCAGAAGACTTCATGTTTGGGGATGCCTATAATATCCCAAGTTTAGTTATTCGTCATGTTCATAACACAGGAGTCGCTGACCAGGAGAGGTTACGTGCGATGAAACAGTTCAACATGAAGAGTAAGTTTTTCCTTCAACCTGGCTATTCCCATTGCCCCGACCTTGATTCACTCTCTTCATTCCCATTCACGATCCTTCTCGGTTTCAACTTTAGTTTAACGTATTCTCATCTTACTGCTTTTAATAATCACGAGTTGCTGCTAATGATTATATTGTCTAGTGTTCGAACGTAGAAATCTCGTCAACCCAACCGAAGATGAGTTTCCTTCATGGTATGTGCGATTGGGCAGCAAGGATCTAGTCGAAGAAGCAATCGGTGCTGCGAACATCGACTTCCCCGGAGAACTCCGAAAGAGCCAGAACCGCTTTGATCATACCATAGGTCCCGTATCGTCCCGAACTAGACGCAAGAACACTACGCTCAACCCTTCGACCGGTGCCCTGACGCGTGAGCTGCCGAAATACGGTGCCGATGGAGTAGCAGTACAATGGAATTACACGGTCATTGGAGTTCGCCGGGACGACTATTTGGGCATGGAATGTAACTTGGAGTATTGGACGCCTACCAAGGATCTTGGAACCTCGTGGGAAACTGTCGACAAGGTGGTGACGACACCCTCGGGTCATACCAACCTGTCCCGGTTTTACCTTAGTATCTTACGCAAGTTTAAATATAAGGTACCTCGCGATCCCAAAGCCAATCTCCAAGAGCTCGACAGTATGCCTTCCCCCGACGATGTTTTCAAGACTCTAGGAGGTCTCAAAAGGGTAGTCAATGTCGCCTACAAGGACAAGGCTCCATCTTCGCATAACAAGTGCCTCAATAACTGGGCCAAAGTGATGGAGAAATGGAAATCGACCGTGGAGAAACTTGAGAAGGAGGTAGCAGCTGAGGCCGAGAGAGAGGCTAAGAAAGAGGCGAAGAAAGAGGTGAAGAAGCAGAAGGACATGGAGAAGCAGGGTATTCCGAAGCAAAAATAAGGGACTATGGGGATGGCGACAGAAACGCGAAAAAAGGAAGGCCAGTCAACAGTCACGAGGATATGGGGACGTGGAGTATTTGAGAGTACCGAACGATACTCGAGGGCATTGAGGAGGAGTGCCTATTGTTTGATCGACTCGTTTGTGTTTGTGTTTGCGTTTTATTTGATTTCTTTCATAGCCCTACACAAGTCGCAAGATAGGGAACCGGGCTGACGATGGATTTTCTTCAAAGAAATTCTCGTTTTGCCCCGGGTACCAACCGTCAGGGGCGAGACATTGTCGTGTATGTATTCAATCAACGTCTGTTTTTCACTCTACCTGCTCCGCTGGCTTATCTGCGTCATTGCCATTGAGATTATCCCTCTCCTGCCATTTACGAGACCGTCCGCTGGCGAGGTTCACCTTCAAATTCCCGCCGCTAAATTCGGTACCATTAACCGCCTCCATAGCCGCTTGGGCTTGTTCCGGCGTAGCAAAGTCCACGAAGCAGAAATCATGATTGCCAGGCCTTGAGCGGGCTGATTCGTGGGCCGTGATTCTCTTGCTGATCGCCTCACTACGAACACATTGAATTAGGATGACTTAGGTTTCATTAAAACCAAGGACTTGGAAGCGTAGACTTACACCTGGAAACCCTTGAATACCTCACTGATCTCCGAGAAATTCGTCGCTTGGTCATGCATCCTGGGCAAGCCGCCAACGTACAGACGCTGGCCAGAGAAGTCCTTCGTATACCGTAGACTGTCCTCTCCCGACTCTGGAGCCTGCTCACCACGGGGACTGCCACCGTTCCTCTCGCCAGACCAACGACCCCAACGGTCCATGCTTGAAGAATTTTGCCTACCACCGGAAGGACCGCCTTTTGGTACGCATGGGCGGCACTTGACCTCCCTGCCGAGTAGTAGCTTTCCCTCAAGTTCAGTCATGGCACGGTCAGCAGACTCACGGTCTGGGAACTCGACGAAGCAGTAGCTGGGGTTCCGGCCGGTGAAGTGGTCAATAGACATGTGTATAGACTCAAAATTCCCGAGATCGTTGGCCTTGAGAATCTCCTCGATGTCGTCTGGCTTAGCCTGGTATCGTAGGTTACCTATATAAATACGGCGTCCCTCGGCGATGGCCTTCGCGGCCCCACCCTCATCAGACTGGGGTTTTCTATTCGTCCTCTCGCGATCAAAAGGACGGCTTCCGGGGGTCCAGTCATTCCTCTGTTGACGCTCACGCCTAGCTTCTCCATCGCCAGGAGCGGTACCGGCATCCTTTGTTCTCCACGACGAAGTTGCTAGGCGGTTCTGATAGGGGGCCCTGGTATTCTTAGCCTGCGATGGATCAGAGGCTCCCATCCTCCAGCTTGACGCGTTCCTCCAGTTATCCGAAGCAGACATTCTGATTATCTGTCCAATTCTAATCGTTTTTTTGCGACGGACGAACGAAAGCCCAACTCCAATTCTGATGGGCGTAGTCGGAGAATTTGAGATGATTGGCAGAGATTTCCGGAACTAGTCAAGATGTGTGGAGTCAGCTAGTAAAATCTATCCCTTTATTAGAAGAGACTGTCCGGAAAATGCTATCATGTCCTAGCCATGTTTAATTGGTCTGGACACTTTATTTGGAATCCGGGTTTAGCCCAATTTTTTAGCCACCACTAGATTAAATTGCCATCAAGGTATCTAGGTAGACATTCCATCGCTTTACATGTACCTACTTTACTTCCACCTCAAAGTCCAATATTAAGTCTGTGATTTTATCAGTAATGTTCTTATTCATAAGTCTTATATGAGAAATGGGAATCCCCAGTATTTTAATTAGTATAAATCACAGGGGTTTCTAACTTCGAATCTCTCATTATGCCAAATGAGAACAATCAAATTTGACAAAATGGCATAAAATACCATATCCAATAAGGCAGTCCCTTATTGGCTCATAGGAATTCGAGTATCTTAAATAAATGGGGACAATTTTTGAATAGGGGTTATGACATATGATGGCCAAATCTCGCCTTCATCAGCGAGTTTCTTCTGCGCTCTCACTGTGTCCTCGATCGCTGCTTTAGGGTCGACGTACGCGATAATTAGCGTCTTACATCGCGAGAGGCGTCTATTAGTAAGCGTCTCAAGCCTACAACGCCACTTTGTCAGCGTCTTCTTGAGTATTTGGGAAAGTAGCGCGCTAGGAGGTGTAGCAAATGATGTTATGGGGTGCCGTAAAAGTCCCTGTCGTTCCATACGTTAACACCTGCTGCGAGACGTGCTACTATGCAATAATGTCGGCCTGGAAACGACTCGTATCATAGTCTTAGACAATATTTATACGGTTGACTTGAAAAGCTGGTTGTTCATTAGATCTGCGATGTTCCACCATCAAAAATGATCTTATAGGGGATGCATAGGAATCACCGATCATTTCGAACTCGAAGTCAGACCAGTTCAGTAAAGTGGGATGATTGGTAACTCGTTTTTCCCCTCCCACGTCCCCTGAGAGGCATGAAAGTAAAGGTTTCGCTCTAGCGATTGCTGACTGCCGAGTTTCTCGAAATAATAAATATCTCGTCCGAGCTGCGCTCCACTTTTCTCTGATTTCATCTGGTCTCACGCCAGCGCTGCAGACCATATCGCCAACGTAAGTATGCGACGGACCAATTCCCAGTTCAATCTGGGAAGTCTCTTGCTGACCAGAATATGTAACAGGTAGTATGGAAAACACCAATCGACCTTGCATCATCGTTGAAACTTCTTCGATGTAGTCTGCGATCTTCGCAGGTAGTTTCGGTCTCGCCCACCCGGCTTCCCCTCCCACCATTATATAAAGTAGCTGGACTAAGATCATTTCCGTCTCTTCATCGCTCAAATATGTCCTGGATTTATTGGCCATTACTTGCTCTTTAGCCCATTCGAGGAGATCATTTATCCATGAAGTTGCAATAGCATGATCTGTATCCTTAGGAAAACACCTAAATATGCATGCAACTGATCCTATATAATAGGCATCGGGAAGTACTAGCGTTGCTTTGGGTGTCTTGTGGGCGGTAATATTTAGATCATCATACAGGTTTCGAATTGGTACTCGTATCTTGGGTAGACGCCAATCTGGCGCCCATGAACAATGCCCTCCCAAGCGGGAACCATCGGCTCGGGTGATAGCCTCCGTCAGGAATCTACCGAGACATTCATTTCCTCTCCCTCTTAGGTGCACAGCGCTCGAGGCCATCGAAAAACCACACTCATCGAAAACCTCCTCTACGCTTTTCGTATAATCAACATCGATGACTATTTTTTCGCCGTTATGCCCGCCGGCCCCGAAAGCAACGTCCTGTGCAAGTCCCGCAATAGCGTAGATTATATCTCTAGGATCTGAACAAGCTGCATCTGAAAAATCGACCAGAAGTTCGATTATTTCTTGCCTATACCCTGAAGCTAGACCTACGTGGGATTCCCAGCAACGTTTGAAGACTTGTATCAGGATTTTACTTCTGGTAACCAATTCCCAAGGTAATGCTGCGGTGGCCAGCAGAACCCTGAGCCATGGAACGGTATCTTTTCCACAGAAAAGGGTGACGTTTGGATTCAGCGAGGCTTCCTGAATGATCCAGCGCCTACTAAACCAAGGGAGACGGACGATTCCATCCAATGCCCTTTGTATGTCTTGGATCTCACGGTCGTTGGCTTCCTTCATAGAGTTCGTACTATGCAAACGCTGGGTCGAAAGTGCGATATTTCTCACATGAACAGAACCCTCCTGGCTATTACCGAGCCAAACCAACACAGACGAGGCACCACGATAAATTTGCGCCATTCGCGGTATTTGCTTCTCCTTTTCACGATTGTCGGATTGGTTAATACATACCGCATCGACCCAGAGATGTCGGACTTCAGTTGGCAACCTAAAACGAACTAACGCATCACGAAGATTTGCGGTGATTTTCACGGATGAAGTTTCGTCGATGATAAGTTCTTCGTTGAAAATAGGTTCTCCCCAGGTATAAGAGACAGCGTCGAAGAATAGATCCGAGTCTAAATCCACATGACGCAGAGTGGCATGTAAAGGGGCACCTGAATTTATCGCTGGTTGAAGATCTAGTACGCGCGTATGTATATTCTTAGCGAGAGGAAGGTATTCATATGGTGGCAGTGCTTCTTTTTCGACATTTCCCGATATGATGTGAGATTGAAGCTTTAGGGTATTCGTTATGTTTGCTGAGCTAGCCATTTCCATGAAAGAATTTAGGAATCTAGAAATAAATAACCGTACATTGAATAATTCAATTCAAGTTCTATTCTTCGTAAGAAGAACCAACTTGGTTCTTAGGTCGGAACATTTCTGTTCCGACCCAAATATTTGGTGCCTGGCCATATTTGTTGGTCCCAGCCAGATAAAGGAGTAATTGTACGGGGAGGGAGTGAAGATGATAGGCTGTTTAAGTTCAAGTTGACAGAAATTAAGATTGAGGAAAAAATAATGAGGAAAAGGCATTCATAAGGTTTACGTAATCAACAATCGGTGCCGATCCGTAATTGATGTAAGGGATTAGGTACGACATTGAGGCTGAGAGTCCACTGATAACCGGTACATCTAGTACCTGAAATAGGACACCTATAGGTGCATCTAGACACAAATTAGGTGTGGTACAGCCCTAGAGCACTTTAGTTAGCAGTTGACCTGTAAATAAAACGTGGGGCAATGGCGGGGTACACGGGTAACATGTGCTATTTCGTCAACTGTTTTACTGCTATTATGCTTGCTTGCTTTAAACTTCAACTTCAACTTCAACTTACACGTTGGTGCACGAAATTCTTAAACGTTCTTTTACACCACGCGAAAAGGAAAATAACTTCGTCATTAACTATATAACGCTTTGAACTACAATCGTGAGAACTTTCTCGATAAACATTTCTTTGCTTTCCCATAACGAAACAGACGAAGCGATGCCTCCAAGGCTTCTAGAGGCCTGTAACGATTCTGGCGCATCACAGACCTATGATGAGAATGGGAAGCCGCTCGTCCCAAAAACAATACAAAACTATGCTGCTGAACTCATGGACGTATTTCTTCCTGTCGGCTACCCGGATTCTGTGACAGCTGATTACACGCCTTATCAAGTTTACGTATGCCTTATTGCTACATTGCTTTTGCGACCAAGTACTAATACACCTTCCAGGATTCCCTTCAGGCCTTCTCCAGCACTATTGCAGGCCTACTTTCATCCCGAGCTGTACTTCAGGGCTTCGGTGTCGGAGAATCAGGGTCATCAGCCACTGCAGCAGTCCTCCTGACAGTGCTACAAGAATCCACTGGACGCTTAGCCACCATCCTATTCGCCCATCGCTGTGGCCAGGCAATTCAACCCGAGTGCAAGTTCTACCGCTTTCTTGCCGATATCGTAAATGACGCAGCGCTGTTTCTCGACGTTCTTGCGCCCGCGTTACCGACCTACCCCAAAGTTTTAGCGCTTTGTGCTGCCGGTATCCTACGCGCCCTCTGTGGAATCTCTGGTGGTGCTGCCAAAGCTGAGCTCAGCGCTCATTTCGCCAAGAATGGAAACCTCGCCGAGCTGAATGCTAAGGATGGCAGCCAGGAGACCGTGATTAGTCTTCTGGGCATGTTAGTCGGCAGTGTGTTCCTAAAGTTCGTCCATGGACGTAATGCCGTCCTAGCTTGGATGGTTATTCTCGTCAGCATTCATTTATGGACGAATTATCGCGCTGTGCGTTCAGTGCAGATGCGCACTCTCAACAAGCAACGACTGACCATCATGTTGAAGGAGCTTAATGCTCACAGGGCTAGGGTTCCGGATGGGATGGTGGATTGGCTCCACCCAAACGAGATCGCGGCCAAAGAGAGTATTCTCTTTTGGTCCAAACCCAAGATATCTTTTGCTGATAGACTCCCCGAAGACGGCGACATTACGCCTGACGATCTTTCGGAATTTACCAATGTTCCGTACGTTATCGTGACGCGGAACGAACATAAGACAATTTGGCTCAAACAGCACGCAAAGGATATCGATGTCATCACAGCTTGGGCACAGGCCTGCAGTCAGCAGCCCTATATCCCAAGTATATGGTATCGATCGTTGAAGCGAGCTGGCTGGGACGTGCAAACAAATGCACTTGAGACTGGATCACGTATCCGTATTGTGGTAGACGAGGGCTCGGGGTCTGGTGATGAGGAAAACAAAAAGGAAATCTGAGTAGGAAAGGGGGTGTCTTTACAACATAGGGCGTAATGGAAGGTGGTCTGGCTTGTACCTACGATACCCTTGGGACTTTTTATGCTTTCTGGGAAATGGCCTTGGGCGACAGCCCGAGCAAATGGAAATCAATGATCACAAGACTACACATGTGTTAAAATGTAGTATATGAATGGCGATGCCTCTATACCTACCTATCTATACCTATACCGGTACGCCTTGCTATAACGAATCTCGAACCACGTATGCTCGTAATATACATAAACCTCTATCATAAACACCCTCACCTTACTCCCAACCAAATCCTTCTATACCAGACCAGCAGCACGCATAGCCCGCATTTTAACCCCTTCCCAAGTATTCAGCTTCGGTCGAACATCGAGGTAAAACGACAGCTTCCCAGCGCCCCCACCACCATTACGCCCGGCATAGAAGTCGATAATATACTCAATCTCCTTCCCGCACCTATCCACAACCCAATCATGTCTATCAAACGGGGCCTGGTACCCCAAGAGCGTATTAATCCGGGCCTTCGGCGACATATTCGTGCTCAAGCCCGAGAAGGAATGTAAGCGCGGGCCGCCGCAACTATACCGCACCAACATCTGTTAGTAGACGAACGGGTATATACAATACAGTCCGGAATGGGAAAACGTACTCAGAGCCCCGAAGCCAAGGCTCCTCCCACTCCTTGATCTCCGCCCAAGCGCGTTCATTCACCGCATTATGGATCGGCACAACGGTGCGCATATCCGCGGCGCGCGGATCGTGGCCCTTGCGCTTCATCGCCTCGAAGAACATCCGCTCCGACGGGTATATCCAATTCCCCGAGATTTCATCCGCGCCCGTTTCTTGCTCTGTGTTCGCGGGACGGTCGGTTGGCTCGCCGGGTTTCGAGGAGCGTGGGATCGTGGAGATTACGCGGTCATTGGCGAGGGGGGAGGAGGGGGGTTTGGCGTGCTGCTGGTTGGGTGTGCTGGAGGACCAGAAGGGGATGTGGGGGAGGTAGGAGGTCCATGATGAGGAGGACGGGGTCGGCGCGGGATGGGGTGGATTTTGCGCGGGCGCTGGGAGAGCTGCTGTGCGGGCTTGTTGCGTCCAGACTTCGCGCGCTTTGTGGTCGACGGGACAGGTTTCGGCGTCCGCTTTCGATATCGTGTTCGGGATCGTTGGATGTGATGGGGGCAGTGATTGCGACCCCTCCGGACTAGCTGCTCCTGCTTGTGACATCCACGCCTCCCGGCTCTTATGGTCGACCGGACATGCGGATTCCGGCTGGTCCTTAGCATCCACCATGTTTATAGAAACCCAATGCGTTGATGCAATCTCGGAGATTCGTACTACCAGGAAGAATTGAGTTACAAAACTGGTGTTGAGGTCATTTTCGGCCGGCGGATTCTTCAGAAGCTAAAAGACATGACTAAAAATTCTAAAAATTCTTAGGTCGCGCGTCGCATTGGAAACTTTTTTATGGGGACTTCACCTGCCAAATCGGAATGCGCCGATTGAAAACCGTGTAGAGGGGAACTGACAGCTGGGCAGTTTACCGGGTAGGCAGGTGCGGACGGCGGACCATAAGGACAAATCCGCTAACCCGCCAATTCAATTAATGTATTAAAAAATATACTATATAAATACAGTGTACGACGAAAATATACTATGCTTTGTAATTCAAGGATTAAAAGGCTTATAAATTATAATACGTATAAGTAAATATTTATTAAATAAATATAATAAGTTTTTTTATTTTTATAAAGATATTAAAAAAATAAATATTTATTTAATAATATTATAATAATTATTAATTAAATTAAATTTTATTATATTTAAATATTTAATAAATAAGTAAGTATATAATCGTTATTTATCGTAATATTAAAAGTTATAATAATGAAAATAAGTTAATTTAATTATTTTATTATGTTATTTAAACTTTTAATTATATTAAAATAAGCGAAAATTTTTATATTCGAACGTAAAGAAAAAGTAATTTAATATGTTATTAGTTTAAATTTTAAATTATTATTAATTTAATAATTAATTAAGTAACTTTTCGAAAATAAATAAGTAAATAAAAAATATATTAAATATAAAAGTAAAAAGTTTTAATAATAATTTTTTAATAATAAAAAGGATAATTTTATAATTAACGAATAAAATATTAATTATTTAATGTTTTTTTTAAAAAATAAGGCTTTATTTAATAAGGTTTTTTCGAATCCGGTTTTAATATTTTTTTTTATTAACGTAATTTTTATTTATTTTTACTTTTATTTTTTATAATTATACCTTTATTTTTAATTTAATTTTTTAATAATTATAATTTTTTATTTTATTTCGTGTTTATTTAAGTAATAAATGATTATTTATATATTTTTAATTTTTTTATTATTCGTTTTATATAAATAATAATATAATTTCGATTTATTTTAATTTAAAATATTTATATATTTTTATATATTATTAAAAACCTTTTAAACGTTATTAAATGTAATTTAAATACGTTTTTAATAAAAAACATAATTTTCTTTTATTTTTATAATTTAAAATAATAATTAAAAAATTAAATTATAATATATTTTCGACGTTAATAAAAATTTATTAAGTAAAATTAATATTATTATTTATAATATCGTTATTATTATTATTATTATAATATAAAAAAAACGCGTTTAAATTAAAGTATATAAAATTTAAGGAATAATTATTATAATTAATTAAATTTTTTTTAAGTTTAAAATATACGAAGTAATATATATAATTTTATATTAAATTAAGGAGTGTTATTTTTAATTAATTATATTTAATTAGTTTTTAAAGTTAAGTTTATATAAAAAAAATTATAGTTTAATATATTATTATATTTAAATAAATTTTAATCTTTTCGCTTTATATTATTTATAATTAAAAATATTAATATTTTATAAAAAACGTAATTAAATAATATAATTTACATTAAGTTTTATTAAAGTTTAATAATGTTATATAATAACGTATTATTAAAAAAAATATTTTAAATATATTATATAAAATTATAAATAAATAAGTTTATAAAAATTAATATATTTATATAATTTTAATATTTAAAATATTAATTAACATAATATTAATATTATAAAAAATTTTTAAAAATGAAATGTTTATTTATATAATGTTTATTACTTTTTAAAATAATTAAAATAATATATTAAATTTATTTATTTATATAATGTTTTATTATTTATTAATAAACTTTTCGTAATATTTAAGCTTTAATAATTTTAATTATTTACGAATATTATATTTAAAAGTTAATAATTTTTTATCGATTTAAGAATTTAAAGTATTACGGTTTTTACGTAGTTCGTTATTTTAATTTTTTTTTACGTTTATTAATTAAACGATTTTATTTTTTCGATACGTTATTAAACCGTTTTTTTCGTTTTTAAAATTAATAATATTAATAAAAAGTTAATTAATTTTTCGTTTTTTAACATTTATTTTAAGTTTTAACGAGTGGTTTTTATAAAAAAATATAAGAAAACTTTCGATAAGTACGTAATTATAATTATTATTATGTTTTAAGGTAATAATTATAATAACGGGGTTTATATTAATGGTTAAATTTTAATTATTTAAAAAAGTTTTATTTTAAATAATTAAATTTTATTATAATTTTAATAAAACAACGTTTTAAAAAAATTAAAATTAACGAGTAATTTTATTAAAAGTGTTTCGCGTTTCGTAAAAAACGGATAATATTTTTATATTAACGGTTCGTGTTATATTTATAAAAATAAATAAGTTTCTTTTATCGAACGTAACCGGTTTTTTTCGTATAAATCCTTTTAAACTTTTTTCGTTTATATTATTTATTTCCGGTTTTTAAAAAAAGTTAAATTATTTTTACCGTAAATTAAAAATGTAAAAACCTGGAAATTTATAATTTACGGCGGGCGATTTATTAATAAAATTAATTTATTAACGTATCGTATAAATTATAAAATGTTTAATTAATATAAAATTCTTTTGGAAAATATTAACGATAAATTAATAATAAAAATAATTTAATAAAACTTATAATTTTAAAACGTTTTAAAGTAAAATTCTTTAAATTTTATTATTACGTTATTTTAAAAATTAATAATAATGGGTTAAATTAATTTAAAATCTTTTTTCGTAATATTTAATTTTTTATTAACGATAAAATAAGGTTAAAATTTATATATAAATATACCGGTTAACGTTATATAAATTAACTTTTTTTATCGTTTTCGAAAAATGAATTATTTAAATCTTTTATTTATTTTATAAATAAAAATATAATAAAAGTCGAAATACGAGAAATATAAAAATTACGAAAATTTACCGTAAATTACACGTGTAAAAATGTATTAATCCGTTTTTTATATATAATTATAAAAGTTTTAAAAATATTACTTTTAATATAAAACTTTAATTTATTTTAAAAATTTTCATTTTTTTTAAATAAGTTATTAATAATTATTTATTTATATTTAATAATATTTATTAATAAAATAATAATATAATATTTTTTTATTAATTAAAACTTTTTAATAAATTTAACGTAATGGTTATATTTAAAAGTTTTTCGTTAATTAACTTAAAATTAATTTATAATATTAATATTAAATTAAATTTATAAGGTTAAATGTTATTTTAAAAAAAGAATTAAAATATTACTTTTCTTTAAATAATATTTATAAAAATAATTTTAATTAAGTAAGTTTAAATTCAATTTATATGTTTTAAAATATTTAATTATTATAAATATTACTTTTATTTTATGTTTATAAATATAATATTTATAAGTATATAAAGTAATTTTTAAAATTATTTTATTTTTTTTTTATTATACGTCGATTCGTTTATTATAATATTCTTAATATATTTTTTTTTAATAACGTATTATTTATTTAATATTTACGTGTAAATATTATTTATATAAATTAAAATGTTATTATTTTATTTATTTAATTTATATTCGTTCCGTTTATTATTAATAAAATTAATTCGAAATTATATATATTAAAAAAGATTAACCGGCTCGTATTTTACCGTAAAGGATATATTGGAATTATAATATATAATAAGTTAAATAATATATAACGAATTCGATAAAAAAAAAATAAATTACGGGGTTAATAAATTAATAAGTTTATTACGTTTTTTTTTATTTTTATATTTATTTTTAACGAAAAAATAATAAAAGTAATAATAAAAAAAGTAAGTTAAACGGTTTTATTTTAATAATTATAAGTAGAAAATATTATATAATAAATTAAAGTTATTTTTATAAACTTTTAATAATATATATTAATAATTTTTTTTATATACGTTTAAAAAACTTATAATAAATAATATTATTTTTACGATTAATTATATTACTTAAATAATATTTAAATAAATAAATAAATTATTTATAATACGAAATAAATTTATATAAACGATTAATATTATATATAAAAATATTTTATAAATATTAAAAAGCGAAGAAAATTCGATTTTTATTTTAAGGTTATTAATTTAAATTTTATTATAAAAAAAATAAGTTATTTCGTGTTACGTTCGTTTCGTTTTATAATTACATTAATATTATTATATAATTATTTATTACGCGTTATTATATAATAAATAAAATCATTTATTATCGATTTAACCATGTAATAATTCGCATTTAATATAAAAATATATATTTTTAATTAAATTTAATTTAAATAAATTAATAAAAATAATTATATTATATTAACATATAAAATAAATATAAAAAATATATATGGTAAAAAAAAAAATTATAATTAATTATAACATAAAAAAAAATAAGTTTAATTAAAGGATTTAGTTTTTTATAAACGATAGTTAAAATTAACCGGAAAGTTTTATTAATAATTATAATTATAGTTAGTATATTTTTATATACTTTATAATAATTTAAGATTTAATTTAATTAAATCGTAATAAAGGAAAAAAAAGGGGTAAGTAAGTTAAAAAAGTTCGCCGTATATATTAAAAAAGAAATTTAAGAAAAAAAAAGGGAAGTGAGAAAAAGTTAAAGGAAAAAATGCAATATTAAAAAGCCGAAACCACGGAATAATAACTTAAAAATTTCAAAGGTTTTAATTAAGTAATATTATATTTACATTACGCGGGGATTTTATATTTATAAATTAATATTAATAATTAACTTAAATAATAAAAAGAAATTAATAATTATCACTTTTTATTAAAATTAATATATTACGAATTTAAATTAATTTTTAAGTTTTTAAAAATCGAATTTTTTAATTATAATTAAAAAAAAGTAATTTATAAGAAAAAATCTTACATTTTTTTTAAAATAAATATAATTTTAATATTAATTTACACATTTTTTAACGATAATTTTAATAATAAAGCTTTTATAAAAATAAGTTAAATATTAATTTCATTAAAGCGAAAATTTACTAGTTTTTCGAAATAAGGTTATTATATATTTTTATTATTAATTATTTAAGCGAAAAACGATTAAAAATTAACATATTAAAATAATTTTTAAAACGTAAATTAAAAAAATAAAA